TATATATATAAAAAGTGCCAGGGGAGGATCCCCCAGGCTAAGCCATGAATTTCCTCTCATCCTAGAAATGCCCCTGCGGACAGCTGACCTATGCAGGGCTGCTGTGACTAGATTTACCTCTTATTCATTTAATGTGATAAATAATATTAATGTTTGTTTATTAACTGGCCCTTGGCCCACTGTCATTTTGCAAACATGGCCCCCGGGCACAGCAACTTTAGTATGCCTGCTTTAGTGTATTTTATGATCGTGAGTAAAATATGTAATCATTTAACATGGTCTTTGCCTGGGTTATGTCTGTTTTAGGTGCAGACACTTCCTATAAAGTCATGATTAACTTCCATTTTTAAGAATTTAGCGTATGTGTAGCCTGATGAACTGTTTGTGTGTCCGTCATTATGCCAGAGGTGTGACCCACTGGTCACTATTGTTGCCGTCAACATGTTCACTGATTCTGTCACCACAATGAACAAAGATGAGTTATTGCAAATGCATATATCAATACTCAACACCTTAAAGACGATGTGTACCAGACCTTTTGTTTGGGAGCTTTGATGCAGCCTTCCTTGCTTCATGGTGCAACCAGGAAGTAAACGGCTCTGGTCATGTGACAATTTATACTAAACATGTGACACTGCATGTATTTCATTGAGACCCTTTGTTGCTGGAAATGCATTGACACATCATTCCTTAGCATTTTTAGAGCCTTAAAACTGAAAAGTTTTTTTTGGTGGTTATTATTACGACCACTGGTATTAAATGGGTTAAAAAAAAAAGTGTATGGGCGTCTCTAATATGCAGCCATATCTACACCCCTCAAGACTTCTACACAAAAACTGCAAATGAATTAAAAAAAAAAAGAAAAAGAATAATTGAAGAAAGGCCAGAAGCACAAGTTATTTTTGTTAGTTAAGTTATTTCACTTTCCACTGCATGATGTATTAGATGCTTTGTCATTCCCCCACAGTTTTATTATATAGCTCTGATAGCTACACTAAATCATATTTCATGCTTTCCCATTCATTCTGAATATTGAGAGCGGCAGCCTCTAGCAATATGGAATAGTACTCTAAAAGCAGTTCCTTGAACCATTATGCTCTGTGCCAAGTTATTGATTTCCACCATTTAACAAAGTGCAGGCAGGCCTCTGATTATTTGTGTGAAAGCATCAAATGAAATTACATTAGAGTTAGAAGAGAACGATGCCTCTGCTTGACCACGCAGTTCTTGCATAAATGACCTGAGGAAATTTATGTCCTCGGTCCTGGTCATTTATTTCCTTCAACACCTCACCTTATTATCGCACTTTCATATACGTGTGTGTGAGAGTGTGAGAGAGATGTAGTGTGTGTACGATATTCTGCACTGCCTGTTTTTGTGCCTGATCAATATTACCCATTATAGCAGCTTATACAAGGCTGTGACATTGGCTGTGGCGTAATTTGAGCTTTAATTTTTCAGGTACATATTCATCTTTAAAAATAAAGTTCTTACTACAATTATTTTTCTACATCTTTGTTTGAATCCTCTTCTTTTTTCTCCTCGTCTTCCACAGTTCGGAACAAGATGAGTTACAGAGCTCAGGCCTGCATTAAGATTCAGAAGACTGTCCGCATGTGGTTGTGTAAGAGGAAGCATAAGCCTCGGTGAGTCTCCTCCTGGTTCTGGTGCCCTGCGCGCGCACACACACACACACACACACACACACACACACACATTCATCATTTTTACCGTCTTCCTGCTTGTCTGTGCCCTTTGCTCTCTTATGTTTTTTCCCTCTCACCCTGAACTCTCTTGTGCTTTTTATTTAAACTGATTCACGCTTGGCGGGTTTTGATGGCTTCACCCACATTGTGCATTTAAGAGTTCAAATCAATCTCAGAAAGCCATCTGCGGAGAACTGATGTCTCACTGTACTGCTTTGGGAAATGCCGCGTGTCTCGCTGTATTGGGTTGCATTTGGAAAAATGGCCTTTGTGGAAGCAGCCATCCAGATGATGAGTTTCAAGTTTTTTCTTTTAGACTTAGCTTTTGATTGTTAGTGGCAGTGTGTGTATATAGATATATGAGGAAATGTTTTATGACAGCATATGCACATTTAGTTCAGTATGAAGAGGGTCATTTCTAACAGTTATTTATCTGTTTTTAGTAAAAACCTAAAAAAGGAAAAAGGCATTGGAAATGTTAAAGGCAGAATGAAACAGAATATGTGGTCAGGATGCAGTTATGAAGGGTATATTTAAAGTGCTCGATATTGGGAGCAGCTTGGCGAATACGGATTTGCACAGTAATGTAAAGAAATGTTGGCCTCCATCCACACCTCCCTCATCTGCATTAAAGTCAGGAAGTGGAGGATGGGGGGGGGATGGGTAAATCAGAACACAACCATGCGCTCATATAAAGATATAACCAAAGTTTTTGCTAACTGAGATCCAAACACACACCTCTGACCCATAATATTGCTCTGCTAGCTACTGTAATCTACAAGCTAACAGTCAAGTTGGATTTTTTAAAAAAAAAATTCTTTTACCAAGGTTATCATAGTTAACTAAAATTACAATAAAAACTAAAAATAAGTGTGAAAAAATATTTTAGTCAACTGAAATACCCATACTGAACTTCTTGAATCTCGTCCCTGACAAATACACCACATTATTATAATTTAAAAAAATAAAACTAATACTGAGACTACCAAAGACCAAAGTACAACTTCACACTTTTAACCAAAAAATAAAAAATAAATTGAAACAAGCAAACTCACTCTGGAATCTAACTGAAACTACACAAGAACTGAAAACAAAAATTCTAATAAAATAATCAAAAATAAATAAAATTAAATTAAAAATACAAAACTATAATAACTCTGTTTTATACTGTAGTTGTCATCCCAAATCAAAATTAAGTAAAATAATTCATGTTTATGCATCTGTGTTCAACATAAGTCCTCAAACATGTTGAAATGTTTAACAGAAAGGAAGGAGAAGAGGATGCCCCTAACTAAGAATTTTCCTGGTCAACCAGTAGTCGTCATTTAGGGCCATTAGTCGAGTAGTCGCTGCATGTTTACGATATCGATTTCATTATTAAATGATATATTTTGGGCGGGGCAACACAATGGTTTGAGTTGAAGGTGTGAGAAAGAATAGTATCAGTAACATTGTTAACACTGTGCTACATTACAGAGAAATACAAAAACGTACTAATGAACCTTCATTAATATAGGCCTATATTTTATCTACAAGTGCACGTCACACACTGAGCGAGCCGCCTGTTAATGACGCTGTGGGCAAGCAGTAATGATTGTGCTAAGTGGCTAATGGGCATGTAGCTACTTCCATGTTTCAGATGATAGGTCATGTTTGTAGTCGACCAATGAAGATGAGTTTACATATCACCTTGGGTTCGTCCTTCACCTTCTCAAAATGATCCCACACTTTGGATTTCCTGCCCGACATGTTATTAACTAGCCTGTGGAATAACCGCAGGTACCAGCCCTGGAAATTAACGTGACTCCTGTCTGACTGCTGAGTGTCGCCACTTCCTATGTCTGTCCTTTCAAATGAATTCCCTTATGATCCAGACATATACAATGTTGCCAACTAATGACCTTCCTGGTCAACTTACTTTTGGACGACTATTAGGGGGCAGGCCTAATTGTCACCTCTTATAAACATTGGCCATTTGAATGTAATGCTTAATTCTTACTGAGGCATTCATGTGTACAACATTTGCATTTTTCTCTTCTCTCGTAGCATTGATGGAATGGTGAAGGTTCGAAACCTGAAGAAGCACATGGAGCGGTTCAACGAGGTGGTGAACGGACTGAAGGAGGGAAAGCAGGAGATGGCCAAACAGGTCCAGGAGCTGGCTGCCTCCATAGACGCTCTGTTAGGAAAGATAAAGGCGAGTCTGTGTTCACCTCTTTCATATCACCCAGGAATTATTGCTCTGCTGATTCTAAAGCTGCTCATGTCAACACTTTTTTCCAGGTGCTTTGAGCATGATACAGTGTGAGCAATGAAACATTTTGCTGTTTGTCTTTATACGTGTTTATCCGCGGAAGAATTTTCCGAGCACACTCCTCGCTTTAAGCGTGACTGCATCAGACTTATATGGCTGTCTGCATCCACACCTGTAGCTCGGCGGCACAGCCAGTCTTCTGTTGTACACTATGCCCTTTCCTAAGTGTGCTGTGCCCTTTTCTCATTCCTCCTCTCGGAATCAATATTTTCAATCACCTCGGGATAAAAAAGAAGAGCTAGGTGAAGGAGAAGTCCTCTCCTCTCCAATAATATAATTTAAAGAGGCTGTTTTGCTAAATGATCAAACTCAGTTAGTGAAATCCCAGCTCTCCCTGTGCAATAAGCACCCGTCTTATTGGACCCTGTAGGTATGGTGGATCATCACAAACACATCCACATGATATCTGGGCTCTGACTGCCTAATAGTGTTGATTTGGTGCTGTGTATGCATTCAACAGGTTTGATTAGAGCGCTCATAGGTTCCTCTGGGTGTCTTGATTGACACCGAAGCACCTTTCTCTCCCCTCTCCCCCAAATCAGCCTCTCCCACTCCCCTATCGTCCTCAGTTAGCATATTAGCAGCCCCACTGTCGACACTCATGGTGTCCTGAGTGCTTAGAAATTGCTCCTGGCGCGGCGTCTCTGTATGAATAATGCATGAGATGCCGATGGCTGTCATTCAGACCTCTATGCGTTGGGGACAAGACCTTGTCATCTTCCCTCCCCGTGTCACTGTTAGAGACTCAGTCTAATGAATCTTCACAATACGGTGACCTCCTCTCCCCCCGCTGATTGTCAGACAAGTATAGTGGGGAATTGAGCATTGTGGCTGCAGTGTGCAAGTGACAGTCACGGTGTCAGTCAGTGTCTTCTCTCGTTGCCACATGGGAGGGTTGCGCCATGGTAACGGTGGAGTGTGTGCCGAGTCAGGCTATAAGTGCACTCGGTGTCACACCTCAAAAATGTCCCCTCGCCTTGTTGAAAGTAAACAAAATTCAGGATAGCATGTTTGTCACCGTAAAGGGAGTCTCATCAGGATTTTCTGTCATAAACACTGTGTTTAAGGCAACTTAAGGCTTTGAGAATTAACTGAATAGTTTGAAGAAATAACAAATATGTCTTCATTCTGTGACCATGACCTTCCGTTCCGATCTTTCTCTTGACCCCTAGGCCACAGTAATGACCTGGAAGGAGATTGACACAGAGTATCAGGTGCTGGTGAAACGCTCTGAGCAGCTGCTCTCCTCAATGCAAAAGAAGAAGCAGGAGGAGGAAGAGACTGAGAGGCTGAAACATATCGAGGAAGAGATGGAGAAGGAGAGGAAGAGGAGGGAGAAGGAAGAGCAACGGCGCAAACAGGAGGAAGAGGAGAGAAGAATGTGAGTGATTGCAGAGGAGGACTGTCAGTAGATAATAAAGTAAATGCAGTGGTAAAGGTTTGAAACTATAAGTTGTGTGCCAGTCTGAGTTAAAATTTCCTTTTTCCAAATATTTTAGGAAATCAGAGATGGAGATGAAGAGGAAGCAGGAGGAGGAGGATAGAAAAAAGAGAGAGGAGGAAGAGAAAGCTATACAGGTTTGGTTCACCCTAAAATGTCTACTGGTGTACTCTCCTGCTAAAAGGTTGCAAAGCCTTAGAAATAAAAATGTAAGAAAATGACCTCCAAATCATATTTTAGGATGAATATCAAGTTGTGTATATTATTGTATATATGTGTATATATTGTATACTTCTTTAAAAACTTTCTATTGTAGGTTGATTTGCTTGATATTTAGGTGCACAATGAAAATAAATTGTAACCATTAGTAGCAGCCAAAATGTTAAATTAACGTTAACGTTAAATAAAGCTCCGACATCTTAGACTTCATAACCATTTGTCATAAAGGTATGCATTCAGGAGCAACAGTACAGTACAGGATGTTGTCGAAAAATCAGTCTCAAAAGTCAAACATGGACTGTAAGTTTTCCATAAGCATTTGAACACACCACAAATGTTTTTAAAACAGTCACGACTAAGAGGAGCATACCAAAAGAGTGCCATAGGAATGAGTCCTAAAGCCCAGAAATTAGTTAGCACTCACACTGTTAGCACACGCAGTTTCCTTATCTTAAAGTCAGTGGGTTGTTGGTTATATGTCTGAAATAAGGTCAGTCAGCTTATAGAGACTCACATGGTTTGTTCTACGACATAAAACACATCAGTAGATAAACCACTCGTGAATTTGAAGTTTTTTTGTGTCTTAAAAAAAGGTGGTTGCCAACAAATAGCTAAATGAGACCACAGAAGATCATCACGACAAACATGACTACAGCGTCGTTGTGTAACAACTGTTGAACCAGGTGAGAGTGGACTCAAACTCACAGCTCTGGAGACAGTTTGGTCAAAAACTGGTGGAAAGGTAGATTTGGTACACGGAGGGACAATCAGTGGAGGCAACAAATCCAACAGGGATGAGGCAGAGGCTAAACAGGCTAAACAAAAAAAAACAAGAAAAGGACACTGGGAAACAAAAGGCTGTAACATTAGACACGCAAGGAACTAAGATGAACTGGCACTGAGAGGAAACAAGAAAAGCAAATTCAAAATCCAATGAAAAAAATCCTGTGGGCTTTTTGACAAGAGAACCAGGTCGACGCTAACTTCCATGTCGGCCTACAGAGAAACGTCATCCCTGGAGCACTGTATAACTTAACTTAAAACAAATTTCATATCTCATGAGGCTTGTTTCCAAGAATCGCCTTAACTTGGTGGAGGGGTTTGTGTGTCCCTGTGAACCTAGGAGCTGTGTTGTCCGGGGCTTATAGCTCCTAGTAGGGTATCCAAAGGCAAAGTGGTCCCAGGGGAGGGGCCAGACTAAGAGCGATTAAAGAAGACCTTGATGACATGCCATATTTGGACTTTGAGCACAGTATGGGGACATCAAGGTACTGAGGGGGGAGCTCGCCAGTGAGTGTCTGGTGGCCGGGCCTTGAGCCATGGAGCCCGGTCAGACGCAGCCTCAGCCGGGCCAACCACCCGCAGGGACAGGAATCAGGGTGGTCGTGTTGATCCCTGGTGCTGCAGACTGGCTCTGGGGACGTGGAACCATCCTAAACTTACAAATATGGAAGCCCATTTTCACAGATGTGATAAAAAAAAAGATCCTGCAAGTCATTATAATGACAAACTTTCTCAACAGAATGAGTAAGTATCTCAAAATAATTAGTAGCCTTTCTGAAAATGACGAGGTAGTATTTAAGATAATGCCAGGCAATGCACGACTTACAGGATCTTTTTTTCAGATCACATTGGCTGAAATGGTCCTCCATACAAATGACACACGAGGCTGCTCAGAATGTAGTTTAAAGTATTTGTATTGTGGTTAATCAGCAGAGGAAAATCACACAAACCCATCGTTATGGTTCTAATGTTTCCTCTCAGTGGCAGCCTGCCTGCTCTCTCCTCTAACTGAAACGTTCATTTGGTCTCCCACAGCAACAGCTGGGTCATGACATTGGTCGGATTCCCAGCGGGTTTCCCACAGGGTCTTGATTGATGGTTCCACTTTCTGCAGAGTTTCTCCTAACTAAGCTACTTTATCCCTCCGTGCGCTTCCCTGTTTTTATTATCACGCCCTTTACTACTACCTTTATCCATCTCGGCCTGTTTCACTCACTCACATTTCATTTGTCACCTTTTTGTCACATCGCTACGTCTTTCCTTAATCTTTCTTCTCTGGTTGTATCACCACACACACACACACACACACCTGCTGCTCCAGTTTTCCCAATATGCCTCGCCTTTTTTAACCGCCCATTCATCCATCTGTTACACGTACATTGCACCTTCTGTACATCTAAAGCTCTTTTTATTCACACAAGGCCAGTTGGACATTTGCATGCTGTCATTTTTTTCCCTTTCTCGTAGTGAGACAGTTGACACCAGGCTGTCATAAGCCACACGTCTCAGGAGACTCTCTGCAGAGTTTGTTTATCCGCAGCTCAGAGGCTCAAAGCTGCAGCAGTAAACTTTCTAAGGGTGTCTGCTGTGACTTAGATGGCATTTTACTCTGTGTTCTGTGCTATTTTCTGCTGTGTCAAAGGTTAGTCTAGCACTGTATCTTCCTCCCTTCAAACTTTGTATCATGGTGTCTTTCAACCTAACCTTATTTACTGCACACCTTCCAGTCTCTTTTTTTTCCTCCAATAGAGGGGAACCTCACAAAATGGAAGACTTTCGGTGTACTATTCCCATCATTCAAGTAATTTGACTTTTGTCTTTCTGAAGACAGTCAAATTCAGAGTTACAGTGGTGATTTTAGGATTTACCATGAATTAATTGTAAGCAGAATGCAAGGGTGTCTATAATACATGCTTTCACTTGCTATAAAGCAGCTCAACTTTCACACTGAGGCCGTCACAATTTAAAGTTTTGGCTCTCACGCTTCATCCTGGCCATGTATCCCAGCTGCCGATTGGACCGTCACACGGTATGAATAATAGATTATCAACTGGAGAGACATTTATATTTAAAGCTCCTCGGAGAGAAGTATCCATTGTGGACTTCATTAGCGGCTTTCTATAAGATGATAGGGGATGAATATGCAGTATATAGTAGAGCTGTAACGATTAATCGATTAGTTGTTAGCTATTAAATAAATCGCCAAGTAATTTGATAGATGACTAATCGGTTTGATTAACTTTCTTAAGAAAAAATGTGAATAATTTTGTTTTGTTTTTTTTACTCCACTTGACAGTAAACTGAATATCTTTTGACTGTAGACAAAACAAAGCATGTGAGAACTTCATCTTGGGCTTTGGGAAACACTGATCGATTGATTTTATAGACCAAGCAACTAATCAATTAAAGGTCCAGTGTGTAGGATTTAGGGGGACATATTGGCAGAAATAGAATTTCATATAATGTGTTTTCTTTAGCAGATAATCACCTGTCAGTGAAATTTTTCAGCTTTTGTTAATTTAAAATCAGCTGTTTACGTCTACAGTAGGTCCTAATCTATGGAGATCGCCACAATGCACCGGGATGTTCTACATTAGCCCAGAGTGGACAAACCAAACAATGCATTTTCGCGTTGGCCACTGTAGTTAGCAGCCCCTCACAACGAGTGTGTTGGGAAAACACAGATTTTTTCAACAAGAAACTGCTTATTCAGTTTTTACCGGTTTAAATCACTGGGTCTGTTTGCTTTGACGAGGAAGAGGACTCTGCGGATGATTCGTCTCCCACTTAAAATCTTCCTGAACATCTGGATCTTAAAGGATAACTTCTGCATTTTTCAACCAGGACACTATTTCCCTGTGTAAATCGATCAGAGAGACTAATGTGAACAACAGTTTTAGAAATTGTTCCAGTATTGAGGGAGCCAGCAGCCACAGAACGAGCTGCAATGGAGGCACACGGGGCACTTAAACATTGTCACTGTATGTCCATTAAAAGCGGTTTATTTTTGACGTCTCATGATTTTTCAGAAAGCAACTTCAGCATAAGGAGGCAATAACAAAACTAAAATTAGAAACACTTACATTTATCAGTGCATTTAAGGGCATCGTAAAGAACGTGGTGATAGAGACATGTGCTTGTTTTTCTTGAGAGGCCACTATGTTGTTATTTTATTGTGGATTTTTGTATTATATGTTGCATTGTAAATGTTTTTTGATCGGCTGCTACCTCGGCCAGGTCTCTCTTGTGAAAGAGATTTTCAATCTCAATGGGACTTCCTGGTTAAATAAAGGTTAAATAAACAAACAGACCGGATTAAGGGAAAGGTAAAGAGACACCTCAGATACTTAGAATAACAGCTGCTCTGTGGCAAAAATAACCACTTTTAATGGACATCTGGCTCCCTTAATACTGGAATAATTTCAAAAAAATGTTGTTCACTTCAGTCTCTTTGATCAGTTTACACAGGCAAATAGGGTCCAAGTTGAAAAATACGATACGATACGATGTCATATGATACAATACGATACAATACGATACGATATACTTTATTGTCCCCGAAGGGAAATTTGCTTCCACAAAAAATCAACAAACTGCCGAAGTTATCCTTTAAGTTATCAGAGAGAAAAGGTGAGCACACATTAAAAGGTGCTGGGCTAGCTGCCTGTCTTCGACAAGCCGAACAGCATAGGAGAAACACTTTTGTTTGTTCCGTGAAACTGCTTAACTCAGGGTTTTAACCACCTTGTCCATTTGTGTTGGAGAGGAAGAGACCTCTGCTGATAATTCGGCCTTCATTAAAAACCTTCTGAACAATGAATACTGATGGAATCCGAACTAGCAGTTCACATTTAGCACATGGGGGGAGTTCCAGCTGGATGCAATCTGCAGTCCTCACTGCTAGATGCCATTAAATCCTGCACACTGTTCCTTTAATCAAGAATTGGCAATGAACGATCCTAACAGTTGCAGCCCTACACATACAGATAGATATATATTTATTGATTTATTTTAATATGTAGAGTATGCCTTCTAGATGCCTATTGGCTAGTTACAGTGAGGTGTGTGCCAGTCACAGATTCTGTTCTGCTCTATAAAGTGAAAAACAAAAAGTTTAGTCTGGGTCAAACTTTAAAAATGCCAGGACTGATTGGTGTTGAGTGTTTGTCTGTTGTATGCCCTGTTGTGTCTAGACAAATGACCAGTAAAGCTTCATTAGCAGCTCTACACCCTGGATAAATATGTCTAATCAGGCTTGGGCTCACAGCAGAGCTCTAATTGTTATGAAAGGTCTGGCACAGACAGCAGCGTCAGTATTCAGACAGGATCTGGGGTTATGTGGGTTTTATAAAGTCACATTAAAAGCTATTGTGTGTTTGTGTGTGTTTACAGGCGGAGTTGGAGATTCAGCTGGCTCTGGAGCGTGAGGAGCAGGTCCAGCGCAGCACCATGCTGGAGCAGGAGAGACGAGACAGAGAGTTAGCCATGAGGATCGCTCAGAGCGAGGCAGAGCTCATCACTGAGGAGGGGCAGATGGACCCAAGCCTGCGCAGGTATTGTATATGTGACTGCAGTGCACAGTCAACAAGCAGTGTGCACAACAATTCAGGGTAAACAAACTGTCAGCATGCGTGTGTAACTGCTTTTCTCCTGTTGCTGTGTTTCCTCCCAGCGATGAGCCTTTTTCAGATCTTCCTATCTCCTCATCCTCAGCCAGAGCCATGTAAGATACCGGCACAGGTTTCTATAACTGCCTGTGTCCACGTGTACCTAACACCAATCATGATAATCAGTCACTCCCTCGCTGTCTGTCTCATTCTGTCGTAGTCAGAAATGTCTAAGCACCTTAAAATAGATACAGATTTATACCAGCATTGCAAAGCCGATTAAAAAATCCTTTGATTTCAGAAATCATCAGTCAAATTGAGATGTCTGGTATGGCACATCAAATCATACATGAGAGGTGGATCAGAATGTGCAGCATGTGATCGTTTTGTTTTGCTGATCTGAATGGGCTCTGCATGGGTCTGCCGTGGATGAAGCCTGTCTGTGTCCTTTGCAGTGCTGGTGCACAACACCATGACTGTCTATGTGCTTCCCCTGATTCATACATTAGGTTGTTATGAATCTGTAGGTGCCCATGTCTTCTGGATACATGTGTATTTCTAAGAACATAAGAAGTTTCATCGTCTGTCTGAACTCACTCTTCTGTTCCCCTAACTTAAAGGAAATCCTTACCCATAGAATGATCATTTACATAATCATTAAATGTATGAAGACAACTTTGTTTTTCCTCACATACCTACACGGTGAATGAACTGAGAAAATTCTCGATGAGCTGGGGTAAAAGGGGGCCACATTGAACAGCAAAACCTATATCAAAACATCTATTTAAAAACTGTCACTCAACTCGTGAATCATGTATCAGTACAGGAAGGACCCAAATGCAGAGCAGCAGGCAAGTTGAAGGTTTAACAAAAGCGAGCTGATAAAAAAAACATCCAGAAAAGGCAGGTAACTGAAAATCCAAAAGAAAGAAGAACCAAAACCAACCAGGATAAAAAAAATGAACTCAGGTAAAAATTCCAAACAGAACATAAGACATGAAGCAGGAAACTGAGGATGACCACAGGCAAACTGACAAGGAAGAAAAGGAACCACACAGGTATATATAAACAGAAAACTAATCACAAGAACGAGACACAGCTGGAGTAGGAGGACACAGGCAAAAGGAGGGAAATAGGGATTGGCTGACAACAAGGGTGTGTTGGGGAACATAAGGGTGGAGCAAACAAGACTAACAGAACAGGTGTGAAGGCAAGACTCTGGGAACAGGGACGTACTAACGAGACAGGTGTGGCAGAAAACAGGCGGGAAAACACGCAAAGACAGGAAGTAAAACCAGACACGAACCATGAGGAGAGAATCTACAGAATAAAACAGGAAACAGATTGAACATGACTGAATAACATGAAACCCCAGAACAAGGTCCGCAAGATACCAGAATATAAACAAAACCCCAGGATCATGACATCGTGAAGTATAAGCCAAGTGTAATTTATCCTGTCATATACTCAATGTTTCCCAAACACATGTATGCCCAGGCGTGTGGCCCATCTGTGCATGGGACTTTTTATGTGTTTGACATAGTAAGGTTTTAGCAAAAATGCATGTGTTTGGGAAACAGTGAGCATACGACTGGATAAATGAAACTTGGATTACACTGCATGAGTTGTGTGAAAGTTTGTAAGCGGATGTTTTGATATGGTTTTGTTGTTGTTAAACGTGGACCCCTATGACTTCAATTCATCAGAACAGTCCCTGTGTTTGGGTTCCTTGTTTACCGTGGCAGCATGTAAGAAAAACAAAGATTTCTTCAAGAATTTGATATGACACAGGGTAAATAAATTGAAATACAAATGATCATTTTGTGGTGAAGCATTCCTTTAAATCTCATTAATATCAGTGGCTTTAATTACCAGGTATTTAAATGTTCTTACTACTGTGATAAAATACTGTGTTTATAATGGTACAGATTGGTTCTGTATTTAGTCTCACGTGTGTAAGGGCACCACAGGTAACAGGTTGTGTCCAGGAACATGGTGCATGGTTTCTAACAGTTTAATGCACTTTGCACATGAGCTGTGTTTGAAGTCACTCCATGTTCACTCATTCACTGTTTCCTGTATAGTAGACACTCAGTAGTGCAGTATGTAGTGAATAAGGAGAGATTTAAATACAGTGTATCATAGCTGCCCACATCATACTCCTGAACCTTGGTATGAATTTGACTCCACAGTGTCAGTGGGAGTGAATTTCCATAACCCCACTCTGTGTTATAGAGCCAGGAGAAGTTCTCTCAAATCCTGCATGGACTCTCATCTCTTACCTAGGTTCAGCGAGCACAAAATTTCATTTGATCTAATAGCCTGTAATCTTGTCAGCGTTGGCTCGGGCATCCAGGAGCCATGTTGCATGTCTCATACTATCCCTGTAAGTCAGCTGACCCCTGGAAACCAAAAGGAGATCTGATGCAAGAAAGAAGCTCCAAAGGTCACATGTGCACACCACAGAGGTTAAGCACATGAAGCCATGCGTGCAGTAGAAGCATACACGCTGGCTGGCATCGCTGGCACAGAGGACCGCCTCAGCCATCCATTTCCTGTTCACCTACTGCCAAACAGCAAAGCCCTGGCCGTGGCCTCGCTTCCACTCCATGTTTCCTGGCTGCAGCGAAAGCAAAGTCACACGCTGGCACACGTCTCAGCCAGACTGACGATGATCCCGAATCATCTTTCCAGTCAGTATGAATTATGAACGGTAATGGTAATCTGGCTGATGATTCGTAGATCGCTAATCCTCTTCTTAGCAGCTACGCGGACTGTAAATAGAGGAGGTAAATCCTTCGCATTATTGAATTAGCAGCCTCAACTCAGCAGGGAAGCAGGAGACACAAGCTCAGACTTGCTGCAGCAGTTGTTTAAGTAGCTGAAACTCTGCAGCACCAGTTTCATGTATTACAGTTTGGCATCATCATTCCTGAACAAAGAAATACCAGCAGATTGAAGCCTGCGTAGTCGTATCATTAGAGGAGCTTTGCATCATTTTAAGTGGAGTTGAAAGGCTGCATGGATATGGACAAACTTTGCTCTTTGGCTCCCCTGCTGCCCGGCCTCTAATGTGAGTTCAGTCGGCTGAGACAAAGAGGAGGGCTTGAAAGAAGCAGGGCATCTGTTTTCATTTCCCACCAAGGGCGGTGAACTTAATCAGTCCTGCATCCTTTTAATATTCATGTGTTTTGTCTGCTGTTAAAATTCCATGAAACACAACACTAAAATTCCAGTGTAATGATCAAATGTTGCTCTTTTCGCTGTGTTGCCATGTTCTTTTAGACGCTGACACCTCCCTGATTGTAAAACTTAAATTTTATTCAGCGTCAAAAAAATAGAACCCTTAATCCGTGTTACTCCCACGCTGTCACACCCTCACCTGTCTTCACACTCACCTGTCTTCACACTCACCTTCTTTTTCTTTTCTCCCCCTCTCTCTCTCACACACACCCACGTTCATCTGTTCCGTGCTACAGGGGTCCTCAAGTTCAGGCAACCAAAGCTGCTGCTGGTGTGAAAAAGTATGACCTCAGCAAGTGGAAGTATGCTGAGCTGCGAGATGTCATCAACACTTCCTGTGGTGAGAAATCCCGAACGAGTTCAGCATGATGCCACCTTTATCAACTAAACAGTGTGTGTGTGTGTGTGCGTGTGTGTGTGTGTGCAGCGAACCAGCCGTTCCAAGCAGATCAAGGCAGCAGAGCTCGTGATTCGACTATTTTCCCTCCTTCAATTTTATTTACAGTTTTCAGCCCCCACGTTAAATAATTCAGCAGCAACTCATGTTTCGGCACTTTTGGTACCCAGAAACGTTTTTCATCCGCGCACTCTGTCATTTTTCTCCCCGTCATTTTTTTTTTTTTTTTTTTTTTTTTTTTTTTTGAATAGCCAAAGTGACTGCTGCTGCAGCTGTACAAAGTGTGCACACAAGATGAAAAAGGAGCGATGTGAGGATGTTCCCACAGCTGCTGCGGCTCATCAGCATGCGTTTTATTGGTGGGGAGAGGAAATTATCACCATTACTGCCCTTCCTAGTCATTCCCAGCCAACCCTCTCCTCAGTCAGCATGAATAGCAGATGCCTTTCTGCTTCCACACTTGTCGATGCCTTTTTAATTGCCACTGTATACAGTGCTCTGATCAGTGTTAGGGACTCTGATATTCCCTGTGGGATTCCAAGGACATCTGGCTAATTTGTGGAACCCATTTGCTTTGGTGGTGCTGGTGGTGATACCAAAAAGCCGTGTTTGAAGTCTAACTGATTATAGCCTTATGCTCATGAGAAGCACTGTTATGTTGTGAATGTTTTGTTTGTCATTGTAGGGAAGAAAACACAGTGCGAGACCCTACACTCCTCATTACACCGTTATATTTTAAGCTTAAATACATGTAGGTTATGTGCCAGACTATTTAAACTTGTAAACAGTCCAGCTTCATATTGACACAACAGGTGAAAACATACTTTTTTGGATTTTGGGCTATTTTGCTTCCATAACAAGACTCTGTGTGGAAAGAAAATGTCCAAAATACACATTTTAGTTCAGTTTTTTGTTCTGGAAATGTATGCAAAACATGCATATTTAATTATGTGTCTTGTTGTCTATTTTAAGAAAATTTCAGAAAGCTTGTAGAGTAAAAAAATAACTGTCTTAATATCAGTTAACAATTGGGAACGTTTCATACAGAGGCCCTCTGGGTATACATGATAAAAAAAAAAACAACTCGATGTCAGGAATCGGGTCAGGAATGACCCAAATGCAGAGCAGGAGGCAGGTTGAAGGTTTAAAAAAAAAAAGCATGCTTTATTGCCGATAAAGAAATCCTTGAAACAACACCGTGAGCACAGTCAAACTGATAAGGAACAAAGGGAAACACACAGGTATATATACACAGAAAACTAATCACAAGAACGAGACACAGCTGGAGTAGGAGGACATGGTATTGTCCTTGGCGAACAACAAGGGTGTGGTGGGGGACACCAGGGTGGAGCAAACAAGACTAACACAAAACAGGTGTGAAGGGAACATGCTGGGAACAGGGAAGGACTAACGACACAGGTGTGACAGAAAACAGGCGGGAAAACAGACAAAGACAGGAAGTAAAGCCAGCTATGAAGCATGAGGAGAGAATCTATAAAATAAAACAGGAAACATAATAAACAGGAGTGAATAATATGAAACAAGGAAGAACACAAACAGAAAACCCCAAAAGGAAGTCCACAATATATCAGAATATTAACAAACCCCAGGATCATGACACTCGACGTGCAAATCTGTGCTAATGGTTTTGGTTTTTGTAATTTGTCCTGTTGGATTTGTTTGTTTGATTTTTCTAGGTCCTGGGTCCTGTAGACGAGTGTGAACAACTGTCATTTAGCGTTATGCTAATGTAACTCCCTAGGGATTAAATCTTTTATTTGTCTAATTTTGACAGTATAACTTCCTCATGAGTATGATTATTGGTAGTTGTAATTGGTTTTGTTCAAAGATACTGAATTGTAATTTTATGGCTTATCCATGGACTGTGAAAATATTGGACGTAGCTTCCGTGATGTCACCCTTTGGTTTGTGTTTTGGAGCCAGAAGTTACCATATTTGAGCAAGAGGCTGGAGCGATAATTATGTGTAACTTTAAGCCTTCATAAAATGTAAATGGTTGAGTTATATAAAAAAATTCGACCCCCGTACAGTTGTCATGAAGGGGAAAATTAGCTATAGAGACTAAAACCATTTTTTGTACCAGGCTGTAAACAGGTTTATTTCTGCTGTAAAGTTGGGCATTCAAACATGGGGATCTTTTGGGGTTGATTTGCTTTTGGAGCCAGCCTCAAGTGGCCATGTTAGGAACTGCAGTTGGCTTCATTTTTCAGCCTTGGAAGTTGCTGCTTGGGTTTATCTTTGGTTTGGAAGATTAAGGTAATGGCTAACCGCAGCTTAGTTTCATGGCGATATATAATTAGTTAAAAATGTTTCCATATTCACCTGTAGTGTCTTATTTTGTTGTCTAAAAATGTACGGAATTTTACAATACATACAGTATGTTAAGGCCATTTACTTAAAATTATTTTTTTTTACTCATACTATGAGCCATAAATCTCCACTTTCCACTTTTATTCCTATTTATATTCTGTTTTTACAAAGGTGTTTGTTTATATGTCATTCATAGCCTGATTTATATAACATTTTACTCCAAAAAAAGGATGAAAAAAATATAAAAAGATATAAAAAGAGATATCCAAACTTCCCTCTCCAAAAACCTTTGACTCCTAAAATGTCAACTAAATGAAGAGGAACTTTGAACCTGGCTTTATTCAGTGTTCAGATTTCTGTTCTGGAATGTTGTCCAAATAACCACATATTTAACTAAGTAATGCATAATTTGCATATTTAAACATAAAACGTCAGAAAACTTTTATAACAAAAAATAACTGTCTTCATGTAAGGACTCAGCCTGAAACGTTTCATTATGATATCTGTTAAAAGTTATTCACCTGTAGTGTCTGCCCTTAAATAATACATTTTCTTCGGAAATATTTTTCAAGTATGTAATATCACATTTTACATGTCCAGACTTGGACTTGAAAACAAGTGACATATGTAGAGAAAGTCTCTTGAGAACAGTCAACATGTGAGCACTACTAACTGTTGTGGTGTTGTGTGGACAGACATTGAGCTGCTGGCGGCCTGCAGAGAGGAATTCCACCGCCGTCTGAAGGTCTATCATGCATGGAAGTCCAAAAACAAGAAGCGCAATGATGATGGAAGTGATCAGAGGGCTCCTAAATCTGTCACTGACTACGGTTAGTCAAGATATTACTCCCTGTATCATCCTCTTTCTCTGAAATACTGTCATTTAATGCTTCACCTGTGGATATCAATACAAATCTGTATATCCACAAACACAGCACATGAATATTCCGTCTATTTCACACATGCACACCCCGCCCCAGGCACATTAAGTTACAGGTGACAAGTGTTTAGTTTCTCCACTGTCGCATCCCGCTGTCATTGGCAGAAAATAATGACCTGCACACAAATAAAACTGCCTGTGTTTCCTAACATTCACTTAGCCGATGAGACGGCGAGGCCTGAGAATGCAGCTGCCTTCTGTCTGCCTCTGTCAGAAATATTTGTTGTAATTAGCAAGTAACTGCCAGCCATGCCTTGTCAGGTTCAGTAGCTGCTGCCGTGACAGCTCGCTGCTTTGCTCATTTCATTCTCAGCTCAACCAAGCATGCTCTGCGCCACAAACACACACGCACACATACACACAAATGTTATTTAGCTGCTTTAAAGCTTACCGGTGTTCTGCATTCCCCTCTTTTTCGTCTTTTAAAGAAATATTAAGTTTGATGGGGGAATGGGAACATTGGAGTCACTGTTGCTCCTGCTTTCACTATATTAACTCGCCTCTCTCTTTTGATATGATAGCTCCTGAAAGCCGTACTGGCTGTGCTGTGTTTGCTTTATATTTGGATCCTGTTCTTGGCCTCTGCTGATGCAGCTTGGGTCTTATCAAGGTCATTTCATAAGAGGCTAAAAGCTGCTTTACCTGGTTTCTCCATGTGATATTTACTTGGGCATTTTCTGGGTCCTTTTTTGGGCATTTCCTGGCTGGTTTTGAAAGCTTTATATTTTGTTTTCTGCCTCACTTAAAGGGACAGTTCACCTAGAAATCAAAAATACACATTTTTCCTCCTACCTGCAGTGCTATTTATCCTGCTACATTGTTCTGATGTGAGTTGCAGAGTGTTGGAGATATCAGCCGTAGAGATGTCTGCCTTCTCTCAAATATAATGGAACTAGATGGCACTCAGCTTGTGGTGCTCAAAGTGCCAAAAAAACATTTGAAAAACTCCACAGCAATGTCTCTTTCCAGAAATCCTGACCCAGTTACTCAAGATAATCCACAGACCTTGTTGTGAGCAGTTTCATGTAGGAACTATTTTCTCTCTACCGAACTACATTTGCCGTATCATGACAAAGAAGGAAGTGCACGTCCACTGCTTGCTCACATAGCACCACTGAGCTAGCTAACAGTACAGCTCAGCTGAAGAGGACGCCATTGATGTTTGCATCTCCCTCTATCACAAGCCAACACATACTCACTCCGACCTCGTCACATATCAGTGTCTGGTCATGGACTTTCCATGTCCAGATACGACGTGCAAGGTACCCTGGTAGCGTTGGTTGTTGGCGTTCTGGGACACCGTGTCAAGTTCTGCCTGTTACATGCATTGTCTTCTTAAATGTAATGTCTCTTTCAGGATAAACGTACTACGTCAGTACAGCAACGCCAATTGACTTTTTTTCTTTCAACAACAATGTCTGTGGTTTGGTTTAGGCAAAAAAAAGCACGTGGTTGGGTTTCAAAAAAAGAACAGGGTCTGGTTTATAATCTTACGGGACTTGAATACCGCTCTCCTGGGTGAAGGTCGGTGTTTGTTTGACCCATCCACCACCCCTCTCACCTACCTACCCCATTCGGACTTTTGCTGCTTAAACTTGTGGTCTTGTCCCGCCATGTTTCCCTCTGATGCTGCTGGGCGCCATTAAACTAGAACAGCGACTGGCCACGCATCATGTCGACGTTAAAAGACACCTTCGTTGGTTGGTGTCTGACGCTGCAAGTCACTGCCCAAGTGCTGGATTTCAGTGACTACGGAGTGAGACCAGGTTGCACGAGCACAAGCCCCTTGTCCTTGAGTAGATGCACGCCTCTTTCTGCACAGTGATACGATTGGTGGGTGTAGTTTGGTAGAAAGAAAATAGTTCCTACATGAAACTGCTCACAACAAGGACAAGGTGCCATCTACTCAAGGACAAGGGGCTTGTGCTCGTGCAACCTGGTCTCACTCCAACACTCAACAACTCACACCACAACAATCTAGATTAATAAATAGCACTACAGGTAAGAGGAAAAATATGTGGGGGTTTTTTAATGGTAAATTGTCCCTTTAACTTGTTCTCTTTAAAACAAATCTAATCTTGTAATGATCGCACTCCCTCTGCAGCTGAACAGAACCCAGCTCCTCCGATGACAGCCCAGCATCAGGAAGTGGCCATGAACCGGCAGCAGCGATATTTCCGCATTCCTTTCATCCGGCCTGCGGACCAGTACAAAGACCCGCAGAATAAAAAGAAGGGCTGGTGGTACGCCCACTTCGACGGGCCCTGGATAGCCAGGCAGATGGAGCTGCACCCAGACAAACGACCCATTGTGCTGGTCGCAGGTGAGTCGGCAGCTTTTGGTTTTTGTCATATTGTAATGATTATTCAGTTAATCTTTTAGTCAGATGGTTCTTGGCCTTAATCATCTTTCGAGGGTTCCCAATCTTCAGGGACTCATGGTTTAGTCTTTAGTTTTGTCAGAAAATAGTAAAAAAAAAAAAAAAAGATGGCAATGGAAGACTCAAGTGCACAAGTACCTACCTATGTGTCCTTTCAGTAAACCTCTGTCCTCATTCGTCCAACACTCAGGTAAAGACGACATGGAGATGTGCGAGCTGAGTCTGGAGGAGACCGGTCTGACCAGGAAGAGGGGGGCGGAGATCCTGCCCAGGCAGTTTGAAGAAATCTGGGAACGCTGCGACGGAATCCAGTACCTCAAGAAAGCCATTGAGAACAAGCAGGCCCGCCCCACGTACGCCACCGCCATGCTTCAGAGTCTCCTCAAGTGAACCACAGCAGTGAGATAAGCATCCTCGAACATGGAATACACAAGACTCAAGAACATAAACGTACATGTTCAAGGGCAGCGCGGTGTGCCTGCTGTTTGTAGGAGGAAAAGGAAGTAACCAGAGAACGATGCTCGTAGGCACTCAGTTTCATCTCATTTTAAACACCACTTTTTATATCTTTATTTTGCAGTGTAACACCTGATTGGTGTAGCGTTTGTCAGCATTTGTCTTCTATCTATATCTGAATAGAGTATCCCACTGAGAGGCCTTAAACTGCAATAATAAACTGCACTACACCCAGGAAGTCTTAATTGGTGCGTAGCTTATCTAGCTATTAACCTGAAACCTTAATGGTCTGCAATAAATTAGACTGTGACACATGCTTTTAATAGTGTCTAATTATCTTTGTCTTTTAAGTAAAGCTTTATGGCCATGTGGATAATAAGGCTTTAAGTACTGTTCTTCATCTACACTTGATTTGATTAGTAAGAATGAAAGTTTTCACACTCATGCACCTTCAAAGGGACGATAAGAAAACACTTCTCTGTGTCAGTTTTGCTGGAAAACGACTTAAATCATAAATGAGTATCATACACCTAAAAGAAAGTGAACAAATTATATTTATACACATATTTCTATTGTTATATTACGCTCTATTTCAAGTATAGAACTTCAGATTTCTTTTTCAGTCCTCCATCTGCTTCACTTTTGACAAAATAAAGCAACAAATTCAACATGTTCACAACTTTTTCACTCCATATAGTCACAGAATGTATTTTTTAATCCATTTAAAGAAGTGCTGGGTTTATTACCATCTTAGTTTTGTCTTTTTATCCATCCATTATTTTCCTGCTGCATGTACAACTCCTTAAAAAGGGATTTTTTTTTTGTATTGTTGTTTATTTGTTATGTAAGAGGGAAATGTAGACATTAGTTTTCATGTTTGCAGTTTCATGGGTTTGGGGTTGTTTTACAGACAATAATGTAATGTGTGTGTGTGTTGTGTGTTCATGTATCGTTTTAATAAGCTGATTACTTGACTCGTGTGTTGGTTAGATCAGGAGCATCTCGTCGGATGATCATGCAATACCTTTATTTAGGCTCACACTTATTTACCATTCAGTTTCATTGCTCCCTGTTGGATCTGGTTGTATGTCGGCCTTTGCACTGGAACACTGTAGACAATAAATGTATGCCCCCATCCTCCTCCTGGTGCTGTTTCTTGCTGAGTTACTGTAAATAGCTGATGAGTGAGAGTGAGTTATTGCAGCGGGCCGTGTTCTGTAAATGGATCTGACATCCTGACAGTAACAGCAGCTAACGAGATTAGTGTGTAGATTAATTAAACAGCAGAAGCTAATATGCAGCTGATGTCGTCACTGAGCAGAGGCTTCGCTCCCATTAAGTGATCAAGTGGATTAAAACTGACTTCAGGTTCTCTTTTGTCCATGTGTTCTGGATGCTTTCTGCTTTTGTGGCAAATTAACAGTGATGAGTATGAAAAAATTAATGACCCATAAGCAGACCTTGAGTTGACTGCGAACATGTTTTGAAGTTAGGAGCCTCTTCAGTGCACAGTTTAACATTGTTAAGAATTTTTTAGTTATTCCTCTGAACTTACAGTAACAATCAGTAAGTTGATGTGTCCTTGATTTGAATGAAAACACTGCATGTACTTTCATCTCACAAAGTTGGCTGACGTCAGCCTGTAAAGTGGAAATAGAAATAGAGAAGTTTTTTCTTTAACTTATTATGAAGTTAATGATTGCACAGTGTGATGGCTACAGAATAATAATAGATAAACCATCTGCGTTTAGTTTGGTTCCCTATAAGCCTGCTTTCAATATGCAATTCCATCTCCCAGGAAAATGAAGGTAAGATTTACGGCACACAGGACGTGCTTCCAACCATTATGCAACAAAAGCAAGTAGAGGAAAGCGTTTTTGTTTTCTCCAGTAGCTATCAGTAGCTACATAAAGGGGTACAAGGGGAAACCTTTCTAGGGCCAAGCCACTGGAGGGCCCCATGGAGGCCAGCAATAATCATGTTCACCTTAAAATACAAGCATTGATAACCAATTTATAAGGCACACCTGTATTTATATCTGTGCACAATAGCTTCTATGACTTGTTATCATTCTTATCACAACATAAGACGATAGCAATAACACAGGTAGCTTTACTGTCTACTTTTTTTCTGTTTTCTTTTTTAGTGGAAGGTCGTTTTCGCTGGTGCTTTGTTGTAATTTGCTCCATACAATAAAGCGATTCAATCTCCCGCTCACGCCTTTTATCCTTGTAATTGTTATCATCCCTCACACTGGCTGCCAATCAGGGCTTTTGATGTGTCAAACATTTATATTTTCCACGCGTGAATGGTGACAAATAGGTTCCCCGTGAAGGATTTTTTTTTCCATTAAATTAAATTAAGTTACATTTTTAGCTAGATTTTGCATATTTATTAGGAAATGCGTACACACAACATACTGATAAAGTCAATTAAAAAAGTATTCGTAACTTAATGTATAGGCCCAGCTGAATATTTGTTACAAGCCAGCTCTTAGGCTGCAGCAATTCCTGCTAAGGAAGCTAGCTCCCAGCCAGACTGAAAACAAAAGAACTAAAGCCAGAAAGCTAACATTACAGCTAACATTATGAGCCAAGAGGTAGGTTGATATAAGTCAGTGGTTCTCAAATGGTGTGATGCAGCACACTGGTGTGCCATGATGCTGATTCAGGTGTGCCCTGCGATTTTGTGATGACCACACATTATTATTGCAATACTACCTGAGCCTATACAAAAAATATGAATGAATTTTTAATTGACTGTATCAGTATGTTGTGTGCACACATTTCCTATGAAAGGGGCAAGCTCTAGCCAAAAGTGGGATTTAATTTAATCTAAATTAACTTAATTCACTTTAATTTAAAAAACCTTCATGGGGAACCTATTCGTCACTGTTCACATGTGGGAATTATTAATGTGTGACACATCAAAAGCCCTGATTTGCAGCCAGTGTTAGGGATGATAATTACGAGCAGAGAGCTGTGAGTGGGACAATGGATCACTTTATTAAACGGAGCACATTAAGACAAAGCACCAGCAAAGACAACCTACCATCGAAAGAAAACAAAAACTGTCAGTAGACAATATCACCAAAGCTGCCTGTCTTCTTTTTTTCTTATTTTTATTGTCTAATGCTGTGGTAAGAGTGATAACACTGTTACAGAAGCTATTGTGCACAGATATAAATGCACGTGTGCCTTGAGATTTTGGCTTGCCCTTTGGCACATTCACAGGACCTTCTCAGGGTCACTGTCATTGGTGGACAGAACTGCTGGTAGCTGTCACCAGTTACCAAAGAGTATCAATGCACGTTCTTTGCAGATACCATCCTCAGTAGCGAAGCTGGCGCCTGGTGGAACAATTTATGTAGCTGTAGAAAATTAAATGCAGAGTGTCCTGTGTTGTTGGTAGCTACTCCGCTCTGATGAAAACGTTAAGTGCTCCGGTAGCGGCAACAACAAACCAAAAAAAATATCACATTTTTATGCAAAAAGCATTTTATTCTTGCAAAATGTGTAAAAAATCCAAATCTCAAAACACACAATTAGTGGGAAGAGTTGTTTTGAACAGGACCAAGTGATAAATACAGCTCAGCAGGCGATGACTCTACAGACAATATGTCATGACCCAACAGCTTATACATTCATTCTCTTTTTGGGACACAACACTGGTATGGTATATATACAAGTATAACATTACAATATACAACATATTACAGTCTAAAGATACCACAATGTGTATCAATTTGTAAATAATAAATACCTCATTGTGAGGAAAGAACAACCTTTGCCAAGGGTATAAAGGAAATGTTCCTACCATTCAATATATAGAATAAATATTAGGTTCCACGTTCAGACAACCTAAGTCCACCTTACATCCATAGCTCTCTGTCTAACAAGACACTTTGATCACTATGAACACTTAATCTCAACACATAACACCATGTGACTGGTCTACCGTACCTGCGTCAGTACCACAGCATCCCATAAACAGTTAAACAGCATCTTCTGTCTCTGCTACCTCGTGTTTCGCACCGTCTCCCTGTGTCGGCTGCTCCTCACACGAACGAGGTGCCATCAAAGGACTGTTACTTCAAAACATTCGTTATCTGATGCCCTCAGAAGGCAGCATGTTCTGTATTCATTCGGCGGTCGCCACGTCTAGATGAGACAAAGAGGGAGGATGAAAAATAGCTTCAGGGGGAATTATACAATACATGACAGAATGCCCTTGTAACTATATCTACAAGATATTTGCTTTGTATGAATCAATTTACCTAAACTCAAGACAGACTATTTTTCATCAACACTGAGACTTCTCGACATAAAAATCATCCCAAGGTTAATATTTGATCATTTTCCCATCTCTATTTGTTAGATCATGTTAAAACTATCTAGCTCAAACAGTCAACAGTGATTTGGTTTGTGAGAACGTGAGAAATCAGCAATGGCTACGACACGCTCAGGTGTTTTACCTTTGTACACATCATAGAGCTGTAAGACATTTGATGTAAAGGTTACTGTTATTGAATATCAGGAACACTTCAAAGTGAATTTTAAAAGTACGAGGCCTCTGAAGACACCTTTTATGTGGCTGTCCAATCAGTGTCCACGGTGAAGTAGTCAAGTGAAGTAATAAATTCCTCAGTGTGCGATGTATTGACAGAGAAAGCTGCAAAATCTGTTCTTCCTGCATTCAGTGCTGCCATTTGACACCCCCAGATAGCCAGAGAACATGCCCCAGATGCCACTCGAAACCGTTTCTTGTTCTCTTTGCCTGTATAATCAAACTACTGCAGAGTATGTTATTTGTAGTATTTTGGCTGACTCAGATACTCAGCCGAACTTATTTGAACCAGAGTACACGCCAGAAGTAATCCAATGGAGAGCAGCCAGGACTGCAGCTGCCATGCAAGAGGATATGACCAGCGGGAACCCTCCAGAACCTGAGCTGCGGAGAGCAAACACCGACTGGTTTTGCGGTTGCTCAAATTGCCCTCTGATGTAAAAAGAAACTAAATCATTCTGCTGCAATGAATTGGCAGTGTTGTTGGGTGCTGTCACCAACACCGGGAGAACCTGTGTGTGTGTTACTATGCAGGAAAGTTTTACTTCTCACTTGGACATGGGCGGCTGGAGATATTCTTCAGGATCCACACGACAAACTGGACAAGACAATCAAGACCAGCAGGGTGGACAGGACAGATGACTATTGAGTGAGTGTTTATGACACCTATCACTACTGTGAGTTAAGTTGGGCTTTTATTGTGAAGGGTTAAAACTGAAAAAGTAAAGTGGTAATGTGCTGCCCTGGACAATGTGAAAATAAAAAAAGCGTGTTGCCGTCTTTGTTCAAGCTGGTTCAGGCTACAGGAGCCCCTGTGTTTTATATTGTTACCTTTTACACCTCAGCTACACTATGTTTTGTCCAACAAAGTAATACCTATAGGTGTGGAAAATCCAAGCACCCCTCTACCTGTCTCCATCTACCTGCATTAAAAATCCCCAACCACTCCTACTTGCCTCTCTCTTCCTGAATGGGCGGAGCACAATTGAATTGTCTAACTGTGAGTTCCAGTCCCCACACTACCATACTACATAGTATGACAAATTAAGATTTAGTATGTCCCAATACATAGTATGTCAAATGCAGTGTGCCAAAAATACCAGGATGTTCTACTACATCCAGTCACAGTGAATAAGCCAGCATGCTTTTTGGCTATTCTGACCCACAGTCCTCTGGACCGCAGACGATACGTTACATCGACTGAGCCACAAACAGATGACAGCTTAGCAGCTCGCTGACAGCTGATTGACAGCTGTCAGAAGTCGCAGTGATGGATGACAGCACATTCAGGTGACTGATGACCAGTCGATTAATAATGAACGGAATATTGACTGTCTAATTGAATAAAATAACCACAAATATAACCAACAAAAGGGCACAAGTATTAATGTATAGCCTATGTAATTCAACTATCCTGAATATAATATATTAGAATCTACAATGTATGCAGTTATAACATTGCAAAAAAACAATCAGAGCTGTCCAGGTTGATCTCCGTCTGTGGCATTTTGAACAAATGGCATTTTGTTTTATCTCTGCGGTAACGGATAGATGTGCAAGAGGGTCAAAGTTCAAGGTGTAAACTTACGAGACAGCAGTATGTCCTGATTATGCAACAGTACATACTTTTAAAGGGCAGCTGTAGTACATACTCAAAGTAAAAAGTATGCGATTCTGAACGCACCCTGAGTATATGAAATACAAAGCAGCTCAAACTGCCTCAAAATAAAAGAATGACAATGAATGGGAACACCACTGAGCTGATGAAGTCCTTGAACCAGAGTTTTCTAAATTCCTAAATATTCCTCAATAGGCTAGCAGCTCCCGTGCATATATGCACTGCCGGCACGACTCGTGAGCAGTTATGAGAAAGAGAACACAGCTTTCTAGGTCAATATGGCACATAGGAATTCATTGCTATAATTAACCACATTTATCATCAACACTGATTGGACATCCACATAAAAGGTGGCGAGTTTCCCTTTAAGTGAGTTTAAGTTTCCCTTGAACTTTTCCAGTAGGATGTTTTGGGATTTGCGGTACAAGTGTATCTTTGTGTCTTTAACTTTACAAAATCAACAATCAGATGTTACCCTGCGGTCCTCACCTCATTGTGTGGTATACAGTGATGGAAGTCAACCATTTCTGAGACTAACTTTTCTGATCTTGTTGTGTAGAGTTGTCTGGGGATCTGCGGAGACAGAGCAGACAGTGTTTACAGTGTGCTTCATTAATATATTATAGAACCAGAGGCATCGTGAACAAAAGCAGGTAGTATAACCGATATAAGGAGCCGCCAGGAAGAAAGATCTACCACAGGAGATTATACCTACAGCTGCTACTGCAGAGCTCTGAGTTAACATGATACACCTTTGTTAGATTTGGCACAAAACATCTTTAAAGTTGGGGATGGTGTGCACCTCAAAAGTTATAAAAAATGTGTTCTATTGTGTGGATCAAGGCCTCTGAGCAACTACTGAAGGCACCCAAGGACCTTGATCTATGTTTATTACCATTAAAGCCACACTAGACAGTGTTTAAGTCACACTAAAGGATTCATCAGACAGTTTGTGAAGCGTATGAGCGAGGTAAACAAGCCTATTATCTGCAGACAGTTTGTTAGAGCGTATTAGTTTACTGTAGTCGCAGGTTTGAGGTTAGTAGCTTAGTCGTTTGTGCACATACAGCACAGTGTACCTCAATACTCAGATGTATGTTTTCAATTGAGGCAAAATGTTCCTGTTCAGACTGCTGGGATTGGGAAGAAGCAGAACTTGACGGATATGGCAATGTGGACACTTGAGTTAAGACACCGTCATCGTTCTCAAATACGGGGTTCTCCCTCAAAGTATTCTCAAAGGCATAGGGAGCAAGGGTGTGCCTACAATGTAAAGGAGATGAGGCACAAACCTAACATCACAAATCACTGCAAAAGCAACACCCTGAAACAAAAGCAGTTTAAATATTAAGAATAAAAGGACTGGTACTTACACCAAAGTTACAGCCTTTCTGGTCTTTATACATTTCTTGTTAATGAATATCAAGATGCCGATGATGGCACAAACAAAGCAGAGACTTCCCACGAGGCAGGTTATAATTAACGGAGGGTCTACTGGCATTGACACCAGCTCGTTGCAGCGTTCTCCGTGGTAGTGCCAGTATTTACCTACAGGACATCTGAAAGAGAACATATATAGGTTAGAGAGAAGAAGACACAATCAGATGAAACCAATGAAATTATCACTTGTCCATCTGATCATTATCTGTAACCACTTATCCTATCCAGGGTCACAGAGGGGAGTTGGACACTATCCCAGCTGAAATTGGCCGAGAGGCGGGGTACACCCTGGACAGGTCGCCAGACTATCACAGGGCTGACACATAGAGACAGACAACCATTCATGCTTGTCACCAATTAACCTGCATGTCTTTGGACTGTGGGAGGAAGCTGGAGAAAACCCACTCTGACAATAAACACAAATATAGTGAGGAGAAAAACCAAACAGGAGTGAATCTGAGGTTGGCCTTTACTTTCACTTTCACTCAGGCTTGTTCACCACCAGTAAACAATCATCTTGAATAGTATACCTTTAAAGAATGTCCTATATTATGCTAATTTTCAGGTTCATACTTGTATTTAGAGCTTCTACTAGAACACGTTTACATGCTTAAATAGTCAAAAAACATTTTTCTTTTACTGTCTGCCTGAATATACCTGTATCCACCCTCTGTCTGAAACACCTGTCGCCATATGCCCCCCTTCTGAAAAAGCCCAGCCTGCTCTGATTAGTCAGAGTTTCAAGGTCTTATCTTCATTCTTGTTGTGTCTGCACCATCACTGCAGCAAGAGAATTACTGTCACAACACTGTAGCAACACCTTCAACACTTTGTACCTTTATAATAGTATAGCTGTGAAATACGGACTGTTTGCACTTTCCAGTAGATTGAGCATTTTGATACTTTGACAGTATTTACATAGCACCTGTACATTTAAAAAGACATGGAAATCTGACTTTATAGTATGGGACCTTTAATTCTTGTTGGCGTATTCAACATAGAGCCTGCTGCTAAACACCAATAATAATAGTGAGAAACTAATAGATGGTGATAATCCTCTCCACAGCAGTGATACTTGCTTGACGTTTATCTTCTGGGTGTGATAAAATACTTAGAATACAATATTTTTCAGCAGTCAACTTCCAAAACTTGAATGTCCTTGACTGCTTCACTAAGAAAGGGTTTTCATGACAGTCCCTGCTTGTGCATTCAACTGTCCTACAACAAAATAAAAATTGCTGCAGCAATGAAATGAATGAAAAATAATGGCTGCCAAACACAAAGAATGTGTAAAGACTTAAGGTGTGTTAATGTTTTGCAGTAATGCATAGTCTAGTGCATTCTCTAGTTAAAAATGCAAGAACTTCAAACGAGTTAAGGTCTTGCCTTTTGTGCTTTCTTTGATTCGTCAGCTTGTGCGTACCTGCAGGTGGCTCCATGCCCCGGGATTATCTCACACAGGCCTCCATTCATGCAGTAGTCCGGCTGCAGAGCGCAGGTGCTCTGACACGGCAGGCCGTCCACCGTGCTGTAGCCTGGATCACACAGACACTCTGCCTCATCGGTCCAACTGTTCACCACGCAGCGTGAAAACTCGTTGCAAGCCAGGAACTTACAGGGGTCTGCTTGGTCAGCTGAACCCAACAGAGAGGAGAGAGGAGGGGGAAAGAAGAAGAGGAGGAGGAATGGGAAGAGAGGTGTGGATAGAGACCAGAGAGAGGTGATAGCTTATTAGCATTAAAGTGGTGTCCACCTGTCACTCACTGATGCAGAGGGGATATTAAAGGGCATTTTGATTGATGTGTATGATGGTGTCTGCTTTCACTAAGGTGTGTTTAATGAGGTCACATACAGTCGTGAACTCTTCCAAGCATCACATTTAAACTGCACATCACCTACAGACTGAAAAAGACAGCAGAATGGGGACGTGTGGCGCTCTGACCTTGTAGCATGAATAAACATCACTGCAAGAACAGATTTTTTTTTTCTGCATGAGGCGTCCGCATCCTGTAATCATACAGGACAAGACGGTACGCACAAGGAAGGACATCTCACCTGGCTCCACTTCCAAGGAGCGACTGTCAATCTCGATGTCGAGCCGTTTAGACGCGGCATTGCAGAAGTCTTCGAGCACACAGTGAACGGCCTCAGTGACATTATAAGGTACCGGTTTGTCCAGTTTCATCCTGCTGTTCACCACAACGCTGCCGTTCCTGAAGTTGAGAATTTCCAGCTGCTTGAATCCGGTTAAATTGGATTGTAGATATGGCAGAAGCTTAGGGAAAGGAATAGGAAAGCAAATTAATATTTTTCTAATTTAAAATGTTTATGCAACTACTTTCAGAGGATGTACTGAATGTCCTCATTTAAAATGTCAGTTTTCTGTGCAGTTAGTGATCAGTGAGTGAACATGATGCTCCTGGAAAGCCGCACTCAAGCAAGATTTCATCTTACAAGGTAAAAAAGGGAACTGTTCTCAATCTCACAAGGACAAAGATTCCCCCTCGAATATTTAGGTTAATGAAATGATGTCAGATTCATGCTGGTGTCAAGTCTCAGTAAAGATCTGAGTCCCCCCGAGAAGGAGACCAGGGCGGCAGAGACCACCTTTACCTGTGGTTTTACTTCCACAACGACAAGACTAAGGTTGTCGTCGCACGGCTGATTTTGAATTATTCAGGTCACATTTTACAGTGTGAATGCTATGAATAGTTCAGAATTAAATTTTGATGCAAGCATGAAATCCTGCCATTACTGCGCAGACTGTGTAATTAGATGTAGAACAAAATTAGGGTTAGCTCTATAAGCATTAATATAAGAACACAGAACGTGCTATTTCTAGTTGAGGAAGAGCCCGGGAACACATGAAAAGACTCGCATGACATCAAAGCTATCGCATGTCCAAAATAAATCTATAATATATGCTGTTTAATGAAAGCTTTTATCTCAAGTGCCTAACAGTAACATATGCATGCTATAGAGTGCTGCAGGGATGATGCTTTTTTGTAGGCCGACAGGAAAGCTGGCGATGTCCTGGTTCCTTAGGTAGAAAGCCAATGGTGTTATTCCATTTGATTTTGAAATACTGCAGTCAACAAACAAATGTTTTATTCAGCATGACAATTTTCACAAATAAGCACCACTTTTATGATTTATAGATAGTTTGAAGCATATGCAATCCCAAGAGGTAAAAAGCTAACATTAGGCTTTAAACAAACTACACCACTGTTGCCTGACTTAATGTCGACACCACAAGGCTGTAAAACTGTGCTCTGCATGACGACGTTCTGTAGTCTCATTTAGCCACTTTTTAAAACACCTAATAGCTTCAAAATTCCCAATAGGGGCATTTACTTATGTATTTATGTCTTAAAACGAAATATAAAGGTCTCTTAAGCTTGTGTTAACAGACCTATTTCAGGCAGATAACCAAAAACCCATTTGAAAAACCTATCGTCTTCAATACGACAGAACTGCTAAGTGACAAAATGCTAACTAATTTCCACATTTTAGGACTCATTCCTGCAGCACTCTATATTGTCTAGTCAAGTATCTCTGTATAATCCCACCAACACTGCCCTACAAAACCAAAACACAGCAACTCAATCGCTAATATCAACTAGAATCTTTGACTTCATGACATTTCTTCAATCATATATAAATGATTCTGGCTTTAGCTAAGGCTAGCTGGTGACGTAGCCTTAGCTAAAGCTAATTTAACCAATTTAGCCTGCTTGTTTGCTGTAATTTAAACAACATTTTGAGTTTGTTATACCACATAAATACAGCAGATGCAAAATACAATCATTATGGAGTAAAAATAACTTATCCCGCAAAAAGTTTGTTAGCTTAGTTTAGCAGAATAGCAATAACTGCCATCTCTGCAGCCACTGACTCCAGTGGAATTTTGGATTTGATGTGGTTTAGCAAACTCTAATTTCTATACTCAGATTCTTCATATGGATGTAGAATCCAAAGGCGATGGGACAAGATTTTGGTTTCCGTTTGTAGTCCAAGTAGCATTTTCCAATTACGTTTGAATGGCGGGTAAAAAGTCCACGTAGTGAGGCAGAACGCATTGGCTGAACTGCAATCTTGGAACCCATCAGCTATGTCCAACAACAAGTTACCTTTATATGAGCTTTTCTTTTAAAACTATCTTAATACACAGATATCTGTTTTAGGGCTGCATCGATTAGTCGACTAATCGACTATTAAAATAATCAGTGACTATTTTAGTAGTCGACTAATCGGTTTGAGTCATTTTTCATGGAAAAGTACAATAAAAGTACCCCAAAATACTCTTATTGCAGCTTCTTACGTTCAGATATTGGCAGCTTTACAAACTCTCCCATGACGGTGAACTAAAACCCTTTGGCGTGAGTACAAAACAAGACATTAGATGACATAATTTTGGGGTTTGGGAGACCGACATTTTTCAACATTTTAACACATTTTTTGATAAAATGATTAGTCTACTAATCAAAGAAATAATTGACAGATTAGTCGACAATGAAAATAATCGTTAGTTGCAGCCCTTATCTGTTTACAGAGATTAGTCAAAATGACTGTCTCATGCAAGAGGAAGCACTGGTTGGATATCCACTGGCTACACCGGATCTGCCCCTCACCGCCAGAGGCTCAGCATTGTCAGACAGATAGCTGACAGGTTCTGAGATTGAGCAAACTCTACCTTAAAATCATATATTAAATGTATTAACTTACAACTTGTATCTGTCACACAGTTTGCCTTCTGCCTTACAATACACAGCATCACCAACTCCTGATTAAAAAAAAACATCAGTGCAGTAAAATCAAATCTACGCAGCCATATCTTAACTCATATCTAACAATTTCCAAATTGTTGCACTGAAAGATATTCCCACAGACTCAGACCTGCAGCTCAGATAACCCAGAAACCAATCTTTTAAGACTGTGGCCTCAGACTGATGACTGTGGTGATATTTAGGCGGGGAGGAAGTCAACCAGCTCAAGTAATGGACCTGCATCAATGTTCATCGATCTGAACCACTCTCCTTCCAGCCATTTCACGTTCACTATAGGCGAAGCGAACGTCAAACAGCCGCAGTGTGAGAGGGAGAGATTACGATGCTTTAGCTGGCCTGGCTGCCGAGCGGGAGATAAGAGGCCTTAAGGAGCTCTGCTCTGATCGGGTTACTTCACTTATCACTGGCCGACAGTTTACCGGGGGCTAGTTCCCTGTAGCTAATAGTCTCTGAGAAAGAACGAGAGGGTCCGACATCCTGAACAAATGGGCGACAGCCTGCAGTACAACTGGACATACAGCTTGCTGCTTGGTCGTCCATTTGTCTCAATGCAAAGTGTCAAGTATTACATCTACACTGTAGATTAGATACCAATCTGTTGCTCTGTTGCCTTCCACACAAGGTCAAAGCCGAGTTCTTTCACAACAAACCTCAGTGCAGTCTGTATTGTGGACTAAGGACAATAATGTAGATTCCTTTGTCGCCTAAGAAATGTAGACAGCATAACACAAACACAACCATAAAGTCTTTGGCACGATCACATAGGCTTCTCTGAGGTTACACATGTATCTACTGGTTCTTGTTTTGGAAAACCTCATCCCTTCTCTGATGTCAAAAAAAAAAAAAAAAAAAAAAAAGAACAGTCACAAGGAATATTATGCCGCCATTTTTTTATGATTTACTGTGGCAAATAAAGTCATTCCAACCTCCATGTCCAATTTTATTGGTTGCTTCACAAACCAGTAGGTACAGGAGTAATGGGGGCAAACTAATGGTCCATATATATGCATACATATATATGAGAGATAGTAAATGTACAGTATCACAAATGGGGTCCAATATCCAGCAGAGCATTACACTGTGTCCATTTAAATGGGCTGCAGAATATGTATTATGTGACATTTTTTTCATTGACGTTCCTGGTACTGCTCAGTGATCTATAAACCTCAGACCAGTTTGAAATATTTGCTTCAAAGTGCCCCTCAGTGCCTAAATAGCCCATTTAAAAGGAAGATACAGTATGTTGACTATTCCTAATGGGGTACTGAGAACAGAGAGTATACGGTAAATACTTACCAGTTCAAACGTCTGACCACATTAGTTTTGCCAGGAAGCTAAATACATCGATTAATGAGGAAAGCTGCAGTAACCACAGTTTGGGCAACCATTAAAGATTGGAGATGGAGTGATAGTTTCATTATTGTTTTGGACATTTGCTCATAATATGTATCTCTGGGTGTATGTATCCCTAATACTTCATATCCCTGACCCAGTGCGGACATTGATTGTTTTTATTTATGCCAAGAAAACTAATTGGAAACTTGAAGGTCCAGTGTGTAGGATTTAAGGGGATATATTGACTTAGGTGCAGCATAATATAATAGGTTTGTTTTCTTTAGTGTATAATCACCTGAAATAAGAATAGCTGCGTTTTTGTTACCTTAGATAAGCCATTTATATCTACAAAGGGAGTGTCTCCTTGTCCATGTAGTCTGCCATGTTTCACCGCCATGTTAGTACAACATATTCTCACTCCGACCTCGTCACATATCAGCGTTTGGTCATGGACTCTCCACATCCAGATAAGACGTGCAAGGTACCCTGGGTGCGTTGGTTTTTGACGTTCTTGGACGCCGTGTCAAGTTCTGCCTGTTACATGCTTTGTCTTCTTTCAAGATACACTTCCGTTTTCACAGGAAATTTAATGTTTACATACAGTCTCTTTCAAAATAAACTCACTACGTCAGTACAACAGCACAAATTGACCCCCCNCCCCCCCCCCCCCCCCAATGTGGTTGGGTTTAGGCAAAAAAATACACATGGCTAGGTTTTGGGAAAAAGAACAGGGTTTGGCTTGATAATCTTACGAGACGCAACACCGCTCACCCAGGTGAAAGCCTGTTGGTTGTTGGACCCATCCATCACCACTCCCACCCGCCCTACTCCAACATTTGCCACCCTGATGCTGCCGAAACTATGACGTCAACCGGCTGCCAACGTTTAAGGACAGCATTTTCGTCAGTGTCTGACACCACAAGTCACTGCCCAAGCGCCAGATTTCAACGATTTCAGAGTGAGACTAGGTTGGTTTCTACAGTAGCCTGGACAAACGAAATACTGGCTCTAGATATGGCCATTCATATTTTTGCGTCAGCCACTGTAGTAAGCAGCCTCTCCGAGCTGAACAGCATAGAAGAATAAGTGGTTTTTAGCATGAAACTGCCTTATTCAGTGTTTTTACTGGCAGGAGATTTTATCAATATTGTCTTTTTCTCTAAACCACAGTGAGCTCGTCAGAAATCTGGGTGTTAATATTGATACCAATCTTAACTTTGCATCAGGACAATTACTAAGTCAGCTTCCTACCACTCTGAAAAACTGGTCCATGCATTCATCTCCAGCAGATTGGATTACTGTAATGCCCTTTCTTGCTGGACTTCCCAAAAAGACAATAGGCAGGCTCCAGCTAATTCAGAATGCTGCAGTGAGAGTCCTAACTGAGACAAAGAAAATAGAGCACATTACACCTATACTGAAAACACTCCACTGGCTATGGGTACAGCACAAAATCGAATGCTTGTTTACAAGGCCTTAAATGGTATGGCTCCTTAATATATTTCTGACTTGTCCACTAGCTATAGCTCAACCAGATCCCCCAGATCATCAAGCATGTGTCTCCTGAATGTATCTCTCTTAAATCTAAATCAGGCAAAGGTGCATTTAGTCATTATGATGCTGTTTTCTGATAGAAACTGCCTGATAACCTGAGATCTGCTATGACTGTATCATCCATTAAAAGCAGTCTGTGTGTGTGTGTGTGTGTGCGTGTATACATGTGCCTTCATGTGCGCCTGTAGTCCATCTCTGAGTGCTAACTGTATTGTGTGTATAAGTGTGTGCACTGTGAGGTTTGCTGAATGGTTATGTGGAGTATTTTATATGTTTTCTATCTAATTGTTCAATGTTTTCTATGCTTTACCTTTGCATTAAATGTGCTGCAGTACAAATAAAATTGACTCGACTTTTACTGGCTTAACTCACTGGGTCTATTTGTTTTAAAAAGAAAGAGACCTCTGCAGATAATACGGCTCCCGGCAAAAACCTGAAAGGATTCTGACCAGGAGAAGTTTCGGCTGGTTGCAATCTGCAAAGGTGCATTTAGTCACTATGATGCTGCAGTCTGCAATCTTTACAGCTAGATGCCACTAAATTCCCTTAAATCTTACACACTGGACTTTTAAAGCTTAATTGAGAAAATTGCAGAATAAAAACAGATCAAATTCACAACACAAATCATCAAAACCTCTACTTTTTACACTGTTACTGTAATAAATATGTGAAAATGAATGAGAAACACATTAACTATTTATCTGAACCCAAGAGGCTTTATCATCAAAAAACTGAGCCAACCCAGAGTAGCTGTGTAACTTCACATTCCCTCTGCTTCTTGGCATTGCAGCAAACACACAATCCAATTTGTATCAATGCACCTCCTCAGTTTGAGGCTGAGGCCTTTACATAACACAGAGCGCAGGGCACAAGCCTAAAAATATGTCCCGCCGTCAACCTCAGGGTAAGCCTTGAAACTAAATAGGGCAGTCAAGTGATGCTTCTTGCATTGATGTACGCTAATAAGGTGGTTTTAGGAGACACAATAGAAATTTAGAAATGTAGTAAAATGGAACAGAAGGAAACACTCCAGCATTAATTAAGAAAACATGAATTTACACACAAATGCTCCAAAACAACCTCGACCAATCTGTGAGCTATTTTATTTCATCGTCTTGTCGCCTACAGTTGTACAAATACTATCTATAACTCCAGATAGCCAATACAGTAATACTGCTGCACCATACAGATGTAACCTGACTGATGTCGCACTAAGCAGATTGGACCCATTAATAGCACTGTGTGTGTGTGTGGTGCTGGAACTGACCAGAATTACTTAAAGCTTCTTACCACAAGTCACAAACCTCTGAGTCCTACAGTGACTAAGGCAGACCCAGGTCTCATGATTCAGACTACCCTGGGCTAGTTTGCTCTCTACCATGTACAAAAGCAATACAGTTTAAGCAACACAAAATGCATAAAGCTGCATTACTAAGCCTATTATCACATTATTGTGCTCCCCATTAATTCATTTATTCATTCACTCACTCTGCAGGTTTATCTTTAAGGCTTCAAAACATGCACGAACACACTAGTAAGTGTTGTAACACACATGTGAGCAACACATGTACAAAAATATATTCTGGATTTTGTTGGTCAGAAACTAACTAGCCTGACTAGACAGACACGTAAACACAAACTTTTAGACTCACAACAGACAGATAATGAGTGTATGCTACATCAGAATACAAAGCAACTTCAACAAGCAGCAGTATATCACACCATAGAGCTTGTCTATACAAACAAAAGACAACAGATGTTTTGCTTACAATGCCCTTCTTTAAAGGAATAGTTTGACATTTTGGGGAAACATGCTCATTTGCTTTCTTGCCAAGAGTTAGATGAGAAGATTGATACCACTCTCATGTCTGTCCACTTAAAGTACTTTTCAACCTGGACCCTTTCCCCCCATGTTTTGTGCCTCAGTGACCAATGGAGACAACTAGTTTTGAAACTGGTCCAGTATTGAGAGAGTGCTGCAGCTGCAGTGGCGAAACAGGCTGCAATGTAACCACCCGGGGCATTTGTGCACCATCAATTTACATCCACTACAAGTGCTTGTTTTGCCACCGACATGCTCAGACCTTTATTAAAACGATACATCTGACAACATTATGAAAAGTACACTACAAGGAAATTAAGCTTTTTCTTTATCTATCGCTTGATGTGGTCTGTTTGTTGTTTGAGAGGCAACTTGTTGCGGGAAGTTAACAGTGAAAAAGATAGTGAGAGTTGGAGAGAGGAGTGTCAGGAAGAACTTGTCATTGCTGAATACTTGGCTGATTTTGACCATGTGAAAAAATCTACAAGATGTCGAAGCGATATTTCTGCTTGAGTGAAACTTGGTTATACACACCAACAAACAGATCAGATCAGCAAAAGGTAAAGACAAACATTTCAGTTCCCTGAAGGATCCCTTCCATAATGTTGTCAGACACTTAAATTAACAATCTGAGCAAGTCAGTGGCAAAAACAAGCAGTGGATGTACATTGATGTTGCACTATTGCCCTGAATGGTAAAATTGCAGCCTCTTGCTCAATACACAAATTTTAAACATTTTTGGTTTCATTAGTCACTGAGACACAAAAACATGGGGAAATAGGGTCTATGCCGTACCCTCCGCTTTAGCCTGACATACACCTCCCCAGAAATATAACTACAAGTTGCAGTGACGCAGACCTCTTGCCTATTCTTGTATGCTGGAAACCATTTCCCTCAGTGGAAAGGAACCTTTTATTTACTTTATTTTAAAAGATAAGAAACAATAAATTGTGAAGATAGTTAAGCCTCCACAAAACAGCATTTTAAGTCCTGTGTGTGATTTATCCTGGCTTCATATGAGTAGAGGAAATCTCCGCTCATCGCTAGGCTAATTTATACAATGTAAAATGCCATAGGCTTGTGCTAATAATGCTAGCATGTTGTATTTGTGAGGAAAATGTGTCCAGCAAAAGACAAGTGTTTGTCTGTGAATGCTGAGAGTTATAGTGAAGCTGACTTGTGTGCTTGTGTTTAAGCCATGTTTAATGTATGTTTTGAATCAACTAAACTTTACAGCACTTCACACAAACTCCGCCGCTGATTAGTGTTTTGGAGGTGTAACTGCAGAGTGACACAGACACACCACCTCACAAGTGTAAATGCTCACAACGGCGTAGGCCACGTGCATAGGCTACGGCGTAGGCTCTGCATAGAGCTGACCCAGAAGTATAAATCCCAATTAAGGCTACAGCCAGCAGCCAGCTAGCTTAGCTTAGCATTAAGACTGGAAACAGGGGGAAACAGCCAGCCTGGCTCTGTCCAAAGGTGACAAAACAGACTTCCAAAAAGCAAAGAATTCCAATTTGTGATTTCATAGGGGGTTATGAGGCAGACTATTTCTTGGCTGTCTTGCTCTCGCTGTTAAGTCTGGCAACCAGCTGTGACACTATCAAGGACCACAAAGAGCATTAGATGTGCAGGTAATGAGATTTTGTTACCTTTGGACAGAGCCATACTAGTTGTCTCCTCTTTTCTCCAGTCTTTATGCTAAGCTAACCAGCTGTTGGCTCCAACTATGTATTGAAGGGACAGATATGAGAGAGATGTCAATATAAGGGCTGCAAAAAACTAAGAAAAAAAAAATGATGATATGACTTTGCCGTGGTCTGTACCAAAGAAACGTGTTCCCTTACATCTAGAATATGATTTGTAGGCCAGAGCATCTCCGTAGCACCACAATGCTTCATTTATAATGGTATGTTGTGACACATTTTATCTTGCAACTCCTCTGACTGAATATTGTATTTCGCCATATTGCAATTTCAATAATATTTTGATAACTGTGCAGCCCTTACCTATATTCTCATCTGCACTACCTCACTGTTTTGCATGTTTACCTCTTTGGAATTCCACTTAATAGCAATTTTACAGCCCATAATTGGGACAAATCACTTGCAGACATAAACTGTACAAAATGAGGAGCTGAAATACAAGTCAAACAGAATCTCAACAATCCTTGAAAAAGCCAAAACTTTAGTACAAATCAAAAAATTAAGGCAAAACACACAAAACCAAGCTCGCCAACATTACAACCAGACTCAGATAAAACCAACAGACATGAGCAGCTGCAGCAGGAAGGTCTAGTGTCTAATTTAAGGACAAAGCAAAGCTAAAAACTAAAGCTGAGTACTTCAGAAATGTTAGGTGCTTTCAGATTGTTAGATACTGCATTTCGAAAAGGTTAGTTAAGAAATAGAAAGGTCATGCTCTCTCTGAGGCATTGGACATGTAGTTCCAATATGGAAAAAAAAATACCGGTATGGAGGCTAAAGTCTTCTGTCTCCCAGGCCCAGATTTACTGGAAGCTCCAGGGTTTGGCGAGTTTCTGGACCCAGAGTGCTGTGTCTAAGTGAAACAGAGTTATTTCTTTATATTGTTGACACAATGGCTCCTCTGAAATTACAGCATCAGCATACTGCAGATTTGATCAAGAATTTGGCGACTGATTAAAGCCTTATCACACTTTATAACACTTTAATAAAAAAATAAAATTTGTTGAAGAAAAATATATCTTTATCATAATTTACTGTTAATTTTAACATTAAAAAATGTGAGGACAAGGCTTCAAGTGCATCCTCACTTGCCCAGGACAAAAAAATTTAGATTAAGCACGAACTTAGGGCTACTGCAAAATGTTTTCACGCTTACTAAAACATCATCTAACACCACAACAGCATATATTGCACAGATGTACTTCTATCACACATTTCAGCTCAGACTACGAAAGCAAATATGAGAAAGAAGCATGCAAAAGCATGATATCCAGCACAAAAGCTTGTGTACCTACCAGCTCAAGAAAGGTATTCTCCAGTGATTTATACTCTGGGGAGCTCTTGTTGAACAGGTCATCAGAAAACATCATGTTAGTGACCCTCAAGCTAAAGAAAACCACTAACTCTTTGCCCTTATCCACTGCGGTCATCAGAGGGGTGCTGGCTTGTCTCATGGCCGGTGCAGCCGTGGATTCATACGGACGTTCGTCAGACTCTGAGGGGAATCCACTCCCGCTGTCTTCTTCCAGAGGTTCAATCATTTCCACACTGGTCCTGTTCTGACTTAACCCTACATCCTCTTGTATGTTGTAGTTCTCAGGAGGCAAGGGTGTTGAGACCGGCGGAACTCCACTGTGCCCTCCACTAGACTCGTCTCCATCCTCGGGGGCTTCGCCACTCTCTGCAGGGGATGGCAAAGGCTCCACATCTGTTTCTGGTTCAATGCCTTGGACGACATCCTCATGAGATGATGGTGTGGTGATGGCTTCTGCTGCTTCTACAACAGATATCTCAGTAACAATGGGATCTGTAGACTCTGGCAGGTCCAAGTTAACCTCAGCAGGTGCATCAGTAATGACTTCTTCTGGTTGGGAGTCTGGAGTTTCTAAGGGAAGGTCCTCATTCTGTTGCTCTGGAAGCTCCTCAGTGATCCCATCAGCTGGTTCAGGTTCTTGTAAAAAAAATGTATATCAAAAAAGGCATGTTAGGACTAGACAGAGTTATTTTGTGTATAAAATAATTATACAGGTACAGTAATTGTTATATAAAGGCATTGCAGGCAGGACACTCAAGCACGAAAAGTTTAGGAGTTTGAACATTTTTCCAAAAGTCACATAAGATTGGGCCTCATTTGACAACTGAAAACATTTCTTCTAAAACCTACTTCTGCATTTTTCACAAAGATTCACCAATGTTTTCTTATTTGGGATTTCCTCTTAGGCAATAACAAAATCTCTGATTCTTACTCATACTCACTGCCAACCTCCTCAACCCCCCCAGGACCAGACTCTGCACCATGGGAGACCGGGCCTTCTGCTTGGCCGCTCCCAGACTGTGGAAGGCACTCCCTGACCACCTGAGAGCACCGCAGACTGTGGACACTTTTAAACGCAACTTAAAGACTTACCTTTTTACTAAAGCATTTTTATGTATTTTATCATGTTGTCTGTTTTTAACTCTTAGCATAGCATATCTGCACTGCCTTCTGTAGCACTTTGAGATTTGTTTTTTATGTAAAGTGCATTACAAATAAAATGTATTATTATTATTTATTGTGGCACGTCCCAGTGTCTGACAGCACAGTAAAATACTGTGTATGTGTTGCGCATCATTTTATACACATGTCCCTCATATTCAGCTTGACAAGCCTGATACATACAAGAGTTAACGCTGAAGTTCTGCAGGTTTGAACAAAGTTTGGCAGCACAGTATGAGTTTGTAATGACTCGACCACAAGCAGGCCGCTGTTTGTTAATGGGTTTTAATATGGTGTATTGCCTCAGCAGGGAGCATCTCCATGCACAAAACCAAACCACCAAGTCTAATTTCCATTTCCTATGAGAGGTGAGTGTTCCGTGCTGATAAGTATTAGTAAAAGAAAAAAAAAATGGGTCACTTTTTATTGGACAGTCCAGTGCTGATATTTACTATCAAGTGACTTTAATGTGTCACTAGGACGACTCTAGAGTTTCATGTGACATTTGTGATAAAATTAGGTTGAACATTTATTACCCAGTTGAAGTTACTCTCAGGGTCAGGGTTAATATTAGAAATGGGACTAATATTAAATAATGTGTAGACATACAGGGGAAAAAAGGGGGAAAACTTTTTCACCATCCAGTAATTGTGGATCAATACTAGACTAATCAGATAAAGGGATGTTAAATTATAATAAAAATAAAATGAAGCACAGTTTAAGTTCAATCAGTAAGATTCATTTAATGCTTAATTGTTTTTCATATACTTTCCTCCACTCTCATCTTTCTTTCTTTTATCCAATTACTTTTAGATATTATGTAATTTCTTTGGTATCATCCCCTCAAATAATATTAAAATGTATTTCTCTAGGGGATGTGTTCCTTTTATAAACCTTAATCAGCTGTTCCCGTCTCTTGAGTCTTTAGACCATAAAAGCATCCTCCCACTGCTTTCCCACCATCAATCTAATCAAGACTCAGAAACCAGAACACGATGGCAAAGTGTGGGTTAAGTTGTGGTTCGATCCTGTTTTCTGTCAATACCTCTAAATGGAGTCCGAACCTCAATCTAAAGTTTAGCTGCTCAATAAAGCTTTGAATTGTTGAACTTGTGTCTCTTGATTGAACTTCAACATACTGCTTTACAAAAAAGATTCAACCTGAAGTAGCCTTACCGTCTGTCACCTGTTCTTCAGGTTCAGGTTCAGCCTCACCTCCGGCATCAGGCTCAGTCTGTGGTATCTCCTCCACCTCTGGCTCTGCTTCCTCTTCCGGCTCTTCTGTTTCTGGCGTTAAAATGCCACTGGGCTCCTCAGCAGTACCTTCTGTGGATTCCTCCTCTACTGCTGACATTACAGGAGTCTCATCAGTGACAGCAGAGGTGCTTTCTGGGAGGATGTTTGGGATGAAAGGCACAAAGGTGTGTGTTTCTGGTTCGATTGTATAAGCCTCCAAAGAGTTTTCTATCACCGGCACAGTGGGGAAGAAACTGTGGATAGGAGTGCTGTCCGCTGTCGGCATCTGTGTGGTGTCGTCCTCAGATATGTCCTCAGCAGGGTTCATGCCGAGCTCCGCAACTGGATAAACTGTGGTGACTGAAAAGGAAGAGTTAAAAAATTCATACAGCTTTTAAACCTGAATCTAAGGACTAAAATACTATTATTCAGTGATATTATGCTCACCAGCCTCAAAGCTGAGTGTCTTTATGTCCAGCGGTAGCGACGGCTCCTGTTTTAAGGCCTTTACGATGATGTGCTTCAGTTTAGGAGCATTCACATCCTCGTCTGTCTCGAGACCCTCAGGGTCATCGCTGAGCTCTGTTTCTCCATTAAAAACCACGGCGTAACGCACGGACACATCCTCTGAGCTGATCAACACAACAAGTCATGTCAGAAACCCTCATAACAGACAGACCTCACTGATAATGGATGTCAGCTGAGGCAGACATTTCTAAGTCATATCCCAGAAGAGGATATTTTAGGGAATGTTACAGTTTCTCTTGAGACTTGAGGAATTAAACACTTCAATTAAAGTCACTTCAGAGGAAAGTATAAGAAATTTATGTTTTGAGTCTCTTGTCTTATCTACTGTGTTGTTTTGTCAGAATCAATCATTACAAAGAACAATTACAATGAACTTACCGAAATCCTAGAATACGAATCTCTTTGAATCCTGGAACTTTTTCAAACACATGAAGCATCTGAAGAAAAGAAAAACAGGAGTGTGTAAGAAACATGAACAGTCATGTCTTCAGTCATTCTGCTTTGCCTTATTGGGCTTTGCTGTTCAGTAAAAAAACATGTATCTCTGTATTAAGTTATTTTACAACTGAGGGATTTGCTGCATTGTACACTACAGCTGCAAAGATTGCTCAACTTATTAATTAATAATCGAAATAACATTTATCGCAACTATTTTAAGCAAAAATGGCAAACATTCCCAGGCTCCAGTGTTCTCTAATGTGTGAATCTGTATGTTTTTCTTTGTCATACATGACAGCAAAGTAAAAATCTTTGGGTTTTGAACTGCTGATTAGACAAAACAAGCCATTTTAAAACATCACCTTGGACTTTAGAAAAATTGTGCCAGGTATTCTCCAGTATTAGTTGCACGACATGTGCTACTGTAAAGGCTCAGTATAGACCTTTTTCACCGCAGACATTTTGACCTTCCATTGTTGGAAAAGCACAGGTGTTGCTAATGACATTAACGGTGGCTCTGTTCTCAGTGAGCATGCATGCACAATACCAGGACCCTGAAATCAAAGCAGCTAAATGGAATTCAGCTATTGATAATTTCATTGTGTACACCTGTGCTTCCTACTGTAACATGTCCAAATGTCTTCCATGAAAAAGGCCTACTAGGGCTTAAGGCATGACATAGAGGCAGATGGGTAATATTCAGGTTTGCTGTGTCTGAAATTTAAAAAAAAAAAAGTGTTTGTCGATAGGTAATTAATCTGAAAAGGAAAACTAGGCAGAAGGGGAAAGCCAGGCAGGCAAGCATAAATTTAAAGATGCAGACATATGGCCGTAACAAGCAGAAAGTGAGGAGAAGTGGCCAGTGTATGTGCCAGGGAGCTGATTAGGGGATTGGGAACAGGTGTGGAGATCAGATGACAGCTAAAGGTGGAAACACTGCAGGGCAGGGTGGAAGCAGGCTCTGAAATGACAGGAAGAATTAGTGACTGGCAAACTGACAACAGGTAAAGAAATGCACAAGTGATATTAAGGATTGTCAGTCGTGGTAACCATAACAGTTACTGTACATGTGCATGTCTAAACAGGTGTTAAATAGTGCAATTACTTTAATTATATGTGCACGCTTGATACTAAAGTTTTAAGATTTGCATTAGTTGAGTGTTGCTGTGACAATGTTAAAAAAAAACACATCAGAGCATAGCTGTAAATTTCACCTTTCAATTCTTAGAAACAACATTTAGTTCTTTAAAAAAATAAATGACATACTGGTTTCACAGCAGCAAAAGTCACTCTTAAGTGCAGTGTTGAGAGCCTCAGTCAATGCCTTCTTAGTCAGAGATAATCTATATGATTAGATCTTACTATTTCAGGCTTGTGGTCATTTAGGAGTCTTACCTAAAGTCCTTTGGTTGCGACTTTAAAGCTGTTAAATCAATCGGGTGAGATTTACACTGAACAATACAATGCTGCAGAAGCTGGCATTCACATTGATCTCATTGTACGGCATTGTGCATAATAATACAACACTGCTGTATAAGGATTTTTTCAGCAAAGAGGTTGCAAGTGACAAAACAGACAATACAAATGGATCCCACTTGCTTCTTTTCCAGTAGACTTTCGGGGTTTTATCCCTCTCACAGCTCTGTTATCAGGCTCCCTGTGTTTGTGGAGAGGTAAAGCAGACAGCTAACATTTACTGTGGGTCTGTGAACTCACACTTGGTCCTCACCTTGTCTGTGAGCTCTTGTGTGATGTCATCATACTGTGCTACCTCCGGGTCCCTGAGCAGCTTGCTGTACGCCGGGTCCACAATGGTGACTCTGAACTCGATAATGTACTCCTCGTAGTTCTCTTTTATCATGTTGGGGTTTTCTTCAAGCTGACAAAAAAGCCAAATTATGTTGTTTGACTATAGTGCCACCATTAGATACACTTTTAAATATTCAAAACAGTAAACTACAATTCTGAAACTTTGTGGGTCAACTTACTGCAGCAGCTTCGGTTGGTAGCAGAATCAGTGGGGGCGTCCAGGTGCCTGAGACAAACAGGAACTCACCAGTTAATATATGATGTTATGAAGATGTATTGATAGCTGCTATGTTTCTAAAGAAATTCAGATGCTTTCATTGAATAGTGTGGGTGCTGTAGTGTTCAACTCACAATCCCTTTCTGGCCCTGGGGTTTCAGGGATAACTCTGGAAACAAAATAACATGTTTTTAAAAAATTAGTTACACAACAATGACCATTAACTAGAGTTTGTTAAGATAAGCCTTATGCTTTAAGGTCTAGTGTGCATGATCTAGTGGTGAGGTTGCATATTGGAGCAAACTGAAACTTCTCCTGTGGGCCAAACATTTTGGAGAACTACATTAGACGACAAGCAAATGTGAATGGCCCTATCTAGAGCCAGTGTTTAGTTTGTCCATTCTCTGCTACTGTAGAAACAACATGGCAGACTCTGTGGAAAAGGACCTGCTCACTATGTAGATATAAATAGCTCATTCTAAGGTAATGTAAACACAACAATTCTTATTTTCAGGTTTTTATAAACTGATGAAAAACAGTTATGAATATTACATCCATTTCTGCCAACATATCCCCCTAAATCCTACACACTGGACCTTTAAAACCATTTTGCATAACACCCTGAATATTCATTTTTCTGGCTGGGGTGCTAAAGGTTAAGTTGACTCCAACTCTTTTGAACATTTTGAGCAGAGGTGTTAATAGCTCCTCTGATGCTTACTGAAATTGCCTCTCTGGAAATGAAAGCACTGATAATTATTTATCAATTATTTACCACTTATGCACTGTTAAAACTGACTTTTTTTTCTTATGAACATTTTTTTTGGTCTAAAAGCACATTATAAAACAGGAAACTCACATTTACCACAAAACTTGAGAAAGAAGTTCACACATACCCTTCAATTTCAGCTTGCTCGGCTACTCTCTGGAAATAAGAAGCAAGATATTAATGCAGACTTACACTAGAGATTGACAGTATAACAGTATGAATATATAAAAGCCATAAATTTGGACTTCTCTATGAAGGTATTTCAGCTGCAAACTCACTCTGGCCACCATGTCTAGATGCTCCTGAGAGCTGCTGAAGTTCTGGGCCAGGTCGTCCATGCAGAGGTTTTCATGTTGGCAGGTGTAGAGCCAGGCTCTGTACTCCTCTGAGTTTGGGACTCTGTCCAAGAAGATCCGAAACGCTTCCCAGATTGCTTCCTGACAAACTGAGGACATGTAGGGTCATTTTGTGGATGTGTTCTTTTGACTTTTCTCAGAAATCATAACAAGAAAACACACCAACCTCACAGGTAAGTATAATTATGTTAAAAAATAGACATGGCATTATATATATCTGCAATATGGGCAGACAGGGTGGAAGCTACAGCACAGGGAAATCAAATGACTGAGGATAAAGAGGATTTTTGGTATTGATCTTGGCATCTCTGCATGTGGGGAGTTTGCTTTGATTTAGGGATTTATTTACAAGATTATTATCTCCCTCAGACAAACACCGCAGCTTCACATAGGAATACTCAGCACATTACACCGTACAATGCCACAGTGCTATAATAAATCACATAACATATTGAACATGATATAATTGGGACAGTGCAAAAAGGTAGGAATGCCTTTTTCAGTAAATGTCAAACCACGTATTTAAGTTTTTGCATGTCCATGACATTTTTGTTAATAGGAAAACCATGAGCACAAAGACACCCTGAAGCCACAGTATGTTTTATCTGCCACTGTGGGGGAAACAAGCTCCACAATGTCCAATATCTTGATGCCTGTGGGAAATTTATTCTCTGACAAACTCATTTCTGGAGCGAAGCGATTACCTTCAATACACCGAATTAATCTGCCTCATTTCCACATCGTACGCCACGGCAGCTGTTGTGGAACAATTTGTATTACTCTGCCATTGTAACAGCCAAGGTGGCAATCTCTGCCTCCTAAATCATCCACAATTCATCTCTCTTGGACAAAGAATATTTGCATATAACTTCATTATATCAAGTGCTTCAGTGTGTGTATCCCTACAGTGAGGAAAACAGCTTCAGCGCATCTCTTTGTGGCATCGTGTCAGCCTCACTAGGCTCTAAACAATTGAGACAAATAACAAACATCTACAGTGTATTAAGTTATGCATGTGTATGTACATTAATTAATAAGATTTAGAGAATCATACACATTTGAGAGGATTAGAATATCTTTTTAATCATCTTTGCTAAAAGAAACATGCACAAAAACATCAAAGCAGACAACTGTTTACCCAACTGTTTGCCTAAGAGCTTTATTCTCATCTGACACAGAGTCAATGTTTTAGGAAAGGCTTATTAATTTCACTGTAAGGCGTTGCATAAAAGTTAAACTTAAAAAAGTCTATCTACGGTATAAGCTCACATCAAAGTCTCACAGTTTACCTCTGAGCTTGTAATAGGCCCGATGGCTGCCGATGACTGCTTTCATCGTCTCCTGGGGACACACTTTGACCCCCGTGGTGAGGAGCGCCGACCTCTTTGTCCGATGGCCGTCCTGCTCTGCCCTGACATTTGTGGCATGTCTGATCGGTCGGGAAGCTTCTAGGAAGTGTCGGTACTTCACATCCCTGAGTCCAGAAAAACCGTGGTCATGAAGGTCTGCAAGAGCAGTCAGTGAAGTTGGAAGTTTAGGAAGAGATATAATTTTACTTTCCAGTAGCACATGAAGTATTCCTACATTAAGGTGAATGATTTGCATTAGGTAGGAGTTTGTTTCTGTGGCAAATGCAATATTAACAGCTTCACAATGTAATTACTTGTTATATAAATGATGCAAACACAAAATAATGTTGCCATTAATTAAAAACATGTTGCCTTTGCCTTTATAGATGAAAAAAAAGCAAATACTATTTGCTGGCAACAAAACTAGGTTTGCATTATCACAAGCAAAGCAAGAGACGTTTGAAAGAGGCACAAAATCAGTGTAATTGTCACAGGACGTAATACTTATCCCGTGAAAACAGCAACAACCCTGATGATGTCACAATAATGCCATTAGTTATTTCATCCTGGGGTATAGACCTATTAAATATTAGCCGAAAGCTTGTCTTGACATGGGCATAGTGGGTATAATGAGAGACAGAGAGGAGCAAGGATTATAAATCGAACACCCTCAGATAAGGGTGCTCTGATCAATCAGCCACCAGTCATTACCAATTGATAGTCGTTCTTAATACTTTGAAGGCTGATCAGATGACACAAACACACAAGGCAGTTTCTCTAAGCACCACTAAAATAGCTTCAGTGGTCTGATTGGTCTCACAAACTGAAGCTCACACTGTTACATTCATGGTTTACTGATAACCTGACGACCAGCTCACCTGCCTGTCCTGAATGCAGACACACAAGTCTTTCTCTTACCACACACACACACACACACACACACACACACACACACACTGCAATGAATGCTTCTGTAGAGGCTGCGATACACTCTGCTGTTTTCTGACAGTGTTTACATTTAGCTTTGTTTAGTCTTGTATTATATCCACACAACTGACATGGCATCTTCATGTATACAAGCTCTTTCTCGTCTGCATTTCTCCAAAAATACAGAATTTCTCCAGTCGTGGAAACTGCTGAAAAAGGAAACCCTTTACCAAAAGAGATTAAATTGTAAGTAAAACACAAATGACTGATTAGACTGCAGCCATGATGCCTCGGCCCAGCGAGGTCAGAGAGTCTGACATGAAGACAAACTTTCCACAGTTGTTTTAATTTGTTAAAATACGGTCAAAATCTTTTAAAATTCCAGACTGCTGCTTGGTGGTGTTGTTTGTGCCAATATGAACAATAACATTATGGACATAGGGGTGTTTGCTAACCAGAGACAGGGATCTGTGGGACTTTAGCACGGGGTATGCAATGGGTCACTGCAGTTTTGGATTTAATATGTCTTATGATGGAATCACAAATGACGAGAGATGTAGGAGTGTGCAGTGAAGGCTTGTAGCAATAAGATAAGGTCACAGCCTAAGGAGCTGCGTGTCCATCACTTGGTTTTGAGGGAATGACAGCCAGCTTCAATCAGATTGACGGACCAGTCGGATTGACTAGTCCCAAGGACTAGTTGGGACAGAGGTTTTCTGTCAGCAGGGAGAAGTCCTGTTCATCCAGAATGTTGAACCAGTTGGGGAGCTGAAGCTCACAGGGAGAAGAAGGAAGCAGGATTAATATCTTCCCCTTGCTATTCCGATGTACGATGGACCAAGGCTCTTGTTGAAAATGGAGCTGTGGATTTTTGGATTTGATGTGGCCTTAGCCCTTTTCTTTGGTTTAGCTCCCTACTGTAGCCAGGGATCCTCCATGTTGGATTGAGCAGCCAGGATATTGGAGTCTAGCTCGGCCTCAGCTGCAGCGATGGGAGCAGCACCCACTGCAACCAAGGAGTGTGGCAAAAGTTTGTAGAGATTGGAGATATATTCTTTCAGCTTGGCAATGGTTTTGGTCAGATGAAGGCAGCGATTACACCTGGATTGAGAGGTGAGTGATGGCATGCTGGAATCAGACGATAACTAGGGAAACAGAGAAAGCGACTACAGCAGTAAAGGCCTAGTGAGTGTTGAAGCTCAGACAGCTACTCCAGGTTTAGCTAATTTGCAGAGACAAAGTGTAAAAACTTACATGGGAGTTCACAGCGTTATCTTAGCTTTGATAGAAATAAAAGCAGGTTAAGGTCCTCCAAGGCATCAAACTTACTAGCACGGGCCCAAATACTGGGCCCACTGAGATGAATGAGAATCTGGCAAGGTTTTAGTGATGGTGTCCGGCAGGCACAGATGTTGTCGATCACTTGGTTTACTTCAGAACCAAGCATCCAAATGCTAAAATCTAACTGGTAACATTATGGCTTAAAACTGGATAAAATGTCAATTTGTGACAGCGCTTTCAGGTGGATTAACAAAATGCAGATGCATGCACACCAACTCTAGGGGTGAGAGATTGCAGAGTTCAACACACACAAGAGTAGGTTACTTGTATCTGCGTTCTACTTGTTAACAGTGTATCAATAGTTTTTACAAGCAATATTAGAGTCATAATATTAAGATTATTTTTACGGCATTTTTGACTTTATTAGAAAGGACAGGATGAGCATGAGGGGGGAAGAGAGGGGTCAACATGCAGCAAAGGGCCACAGGTTGGAATTGAGCTCACGGCTGCTGTGGCAATGACATAGCCTTTGAACATGGGGCACCTGCTCTACCAGGTGAGCTACTGGGCGCCCCACACATGCAGGAGTGATTGTAACAGCATATGGGGCACGGGAGAATTTTATTAAATGTAATTCAACATTTACAAACGTGTCTAAAACTGTTTTTTAGGGCGGAATTCTGGAAACTCTGGAAACTGGAATTCCCTTGAAATGCCCATGTTTGGTAGTCTTGTAATGTGTACGCAGGTATCAGGCAGATAACACTAACAACCACTGAGGAGTATTTGATTTGACAGATACTTAATCCAACAAGTTACCTAATGGCATCAGCCCTCTTACTGTAAGTTAACTGCTGCTTGCCCTACCATTGGCCATAAATAGCATCTGGCTTTGCAGTGAAAAGTATATTAAACACAGAGGGTCCCAGAGAGTCAATAAATCCTTTGCATGTGTGATTTTTGTGTCCCTCTAAGGTGCAATGTTGTATTTGAGCTTTTGAATTCACTGTAGTGTAAAAACGTTTTGGGCCTGAGGCTTTCAGGAGCTGGTTTGTGACTGGAACGTTGTCATTTCAAATGCTGGCAAAGTGCACAGATGTGTGGCGAAAGCAAATGAGTAACACTTGCTTCTCCCTGAGGAATGGTTGCTGAGATGCCCTTGGGCGACCTGACCCCACATGGCTTCACTGAAGCTGCTCAGTGGCCAGCAGTGTGCTGGGCAGCGTCCAGGTGTGAATGTGTAGAAATGCACGCATGAGGATTACAGTTGAAAAGGGATGTGCGTGCACAGCAAACCTTAAAGAGATTAAAATGAGGTGCAGGTGGATACCCAGCTGATTTTACAAAAACAATTCTGTTGCATAAAAACATTCAAACAGTAACAGACATACAGACACAGGACTTTTCCATAAAGTATAACACTGAGATGCTGCACACACTGAGAAGAAGTGCCCTAATTTTCTGATCACCTTAGTAAAGAAAACAAGCTCAGCCACCCCGGTGAGGCATTACAGGAGGGTAATTCCACACCACAACACAAGCCGGTGTGCCAGTCAATGCTCTCCAACACAGTCACACCATTGAACAAAGCTATTTTAGAAGAAAGGAACTCATTGTGATGCCAGGTGGCAAACCTCAGAGGACTTTCTAAGACAATAAGCCAGGATTTATGAGCCCCAAAAACAGACTTCAGGTCATCGGACCCAAATAATAGACTGTGCCTTCTCTGGATTAGGGAGCAGAATGAATGTAACAGAGAAATGAAAAGAGCAACTGAGTGTAAACAATATAATCACTGATATACCGGCATCAGACACGGAGCTTTAAGTTGGCGATGGTGCATTTTTGTGAAGAAAAACATGACAACAGGACAATCTCATGTATTAATACACATCTCCATGACAGCCATTAAGTTGTGTTAACTATAACATAATCATGTCCAGCATGGTGAACACTGGACCACAAGCAGATGAAGAACAATACAGGTAGAGTCCAGAGATTCAGAAGTAAGAGCTACAACTGTGTGTTGTCTCATTTTCCAAGAGTTGACACAACATCATAAACATGTGTAAAAGCCCTGCAACATTAACTAATATATAGAGTTGTTGTTTTTTTTTACTAATAATGAAATCAGTAATTTGTTATGGTCACAATAATGACAATATTAAAAATACTAACAGTAATTGTGTAAAAGATATGCTGGAATTTACTACAGTCGCTGTATTTGTTTTGAGATGTTGCATGTTGTTGTACTAACTCAGTGCTGAAACATGGAAACATCATAGAGGGATGAAGTCTCTCCCTTTTGGTGACCCACCATGGGACCTTAGGTTGTAAAAAATATGTGTGATAGTTAAAAGTGACAGACAAATTATTTTCGGATCCCGTTATGACTGTGCCATGAATTACACATGTGATGTCTATCAATTCAAAACATAATTTTGTAAGTCAAGACAGTCGCAGTTTGCCCTGAAACTGTTGAAGTAGACTACATGTTGCGTAAGTGAAGTCAGTAGTTTCTTTCTCACTGAAGCTACAATGCCTGTGTGGTTCTTATGGGAATGCACTAACTCAAGCAACACGTCTTATTCGTTCTTCTATTATCAGCTGATAAAAAGACCAGGGAAGTGTCACTGGATTAAGCACATCTGGTCAGATAAGGTTACATTTGTGTGTGGGAAATAGCTAAGTCACCTAGCTAGCTAGCTAACTAGCTGGTGTTGGCGAAGTATAAACCGTTTCAAACTAGACATAGGTCCAAGTGTTAATCCTATTGGAATGTTGTTAATGCAGTAGATGACAAGCAAATTATTAAAGACAGAAGGGTTATCAGGGGCAGCATTTGAATTTTGCATTGGTGCAAGGCTTGGGTGCCACCACTATTGAAGTTAATGGGTCAGGCATGTCAAGTCCCACTATGACCAAAACCTTTGACTGGAAAATGTTTCCACTGAATACAAAACCACACATTACCTAAAGTTGACTGATGTTTTTTTTTAAACTATATATGCTCATTCGTTTTCCTTGATATTGGTGTCCAAACAGATTACATGATTTGTCATCAGATGACAGGAAGTAAACAAGACCATATCTGTTGCCCTAGCAACAATATGGCAATGAAGCAGGCTATACTGTGCGAGCCAAGAGATGTAATTCACTGAGCGGTTTCACACTAAACTAAATTGTACTACAACAAACCACTCGTGAAATTCATGTGCAATTTATGGCACAATTCAAACATGATCAAAAAATGATTTGTCTCTAATCAATGACTACCGCACAAATCTTTTTCTGAAATGCCCTGTGGGGGAAACAGGAAGGAAAAACGAGGAATTGTGCCTCTCTATGGTATCGCTCATACATTGTGATGTCATAATATCATTGTCACTTGAATATGTGTTGTGATGGAGTAGCTGGGAATGCTAACAAACATGCAAACTACTTCTGTGAAGTCTGAAATTGATTTTGTTGAGACAGACAGAGATGCACGTTCACTGTGGTGGTTGTTGCATTACATTGTGTGTCCACCTACTTTAAGTTGTAGTAGGAATGTGCATGCCTGCTGTGCTACTGGCCTTTATTCGGGAATTAGAATTAAAGAGCTGAAAAAGGGCCCCAAACACAGGCATTCATTGATGTTTTGCTTGACATGAATGGTGGAGAAAGACAAGTATAAAGTGTGTTAATCACTGTATTACACCTAAATAACAACCTCTACAAAGAACAATATTGTTTTCTCAAATCCAAACTTGGCCCAACACCAAGAACACGCAAAGAATGTGTGGGCATTGACATTACAGCCTGAAGCTTTGTGGGCAAATATCCCCCATTTTAGTGTCTGTCAGGCAGACCCATTCACCCGACAAACCTTCCACTTCCATTCCAGCAGGTCAGAAGGCGGCCTGAAATTTAGCCAAATCATGCGTGCCTCCATTAATAGTCACGCCAGCGAGACAACCTTTTAAATGGGTTTTTGGAAATCGGTAAGCTTGAAGCCTGACTTGCACATGCAGAGACACGAGGGCCTGAGCGAGAGGAGGGAGTGTTTGAGCGGGCCTTAATGCCCGGTGCAGCCACAAAAAGGCCTCGCAGCAGAATTACAAGCCAGAAAAGATTAGCGTCCTGCGACACTGGGAACAGAATGGCTTTTGTTTCCTTCAGGATAATGAGCTCACCCAGGCACATCAAACTGAACAAGACAACCAGTGCAGTCGCAAATGTTATCACTGGTGAAGTGATGCTATCTTTCTCAGTGAACATCTATTATGTCTCTGCCCGTTTAATTCATGGTGAATATTCATGACCTCAAAAGTTTTTTTTCTTAAAAAAATCAAAGATCTAAGTGAGCATGAGCAAACAATTTGTAATTTGCAGAGAGAAATCTTCGAACTGCAGAGTCACGCACAATTTTAACTGGAAAACCTTGTTGCCCTTGAAGTGGATTGCCCGTTCTTTAAGTCTCGCCATGCAATCAAACCTCATCGACAGAAAACCTGCAGGAAGGTCTTCACAACAAATAATTATTTGTCAGTAACTAAACATAAAGTGACCTTTTTCCAAAGTTTGGTCCTTCTTGAGGCAGGTGTGTAAAAAAGGCGTGTAGAAATTTATCACTACTTTATTGACAGAATTACATCTGTCCTTGCTACAAGTGCAGCCTCAAAGAGGTAGATTGTTCAAACTTGCAAATATGCAACTACTGAAACCTTCTGTGTGAAAACAAACATCTCGCTCTCCAATCATAATATAAAAGGCAATTACTGGGTGAAAAATCTCAACTATGTTGACAGAAATCCAGCCTCCCACAGGGTTCTTACCTTTGATTCGACTTGCTTGGAGGGTAAACAGACACAAAGTGAGGAAAAGTCCTGACTTCAAAAGCATGATGGGCTAATTTATGTGGTCTTCAAGCCCAGAGTTGTCATTTGTAAAGAAGCTGTTGCAAGCAACAATAAAATCCACAATCTCTTTATCACGAGTCCATAAGCAGAGGGTGCAACAGTGTCCTCATCTGTGCTGACAAGGTCTTCAGCTTGTGCCAAAAGAGGGTGTCCAGTCCACTCTTATCTGTGCTCCAGCTCAGTTCTTCAGCAGCAGTTAGTTCCTGGATGCTGTTGGATCCCTGTAGACAAGCGAGGTGGCTACATGGGTGGATGAGCAGAGGGAGCGAGGGAGGGAGGAGAGAGGTAAAGGAAGGAGAGACGGTGAACGGGTGGAATTTTGGCTCAGGAGGTTTCCTTCTACGCTGTCAGTGTGACAAGAGTGACGAGGTTAAAAAAGCAGGCTCTGTTTTGAGTCTAATCTCTTTACCTTCTTCTTGCTGCTTGTAATCCGTGCGGGGCCACGTGGCCGCCCGGCCTCATCCTGTTAGCCACCTTCTGGACCCTCATCTGTCAGCTGCACAAACTTGGGGATCGGCCAGCCAGCCTAGATCAGATAACTACTTCCTACAGTCGCCCCAAAGTTGATCACTGACACCCAGACTCTGTGTGTTCTTATCCGCCTCTATGTGTCACTGTTTGAATGTTCTAACTCATCCTCTTCTTGCTCTCAGTTTAGATTCCTCCTTCCTGGGTGCTCACAGCAAATCCCTACCTCCCAGGCCAGCAATTTTGGGTGCCAAGTGAGGTCAGGGTTGCAGTGTTGTTCTGTGCTATTCACCCAGCTACCAAAAACAATGTGTCTAATTCCTATTTGAGCTGCACAGCCAAGTTCAGGCCTCTCTTCTGACTGTAAGAGCAGTGTCTACATGTAACCCTGCCCCCTTTCCCCTGTGTTTTGGCTGTTGTAGATGCACCTGACTGATCCTCCTCCTCCACTATTTGCACAGTTTTCCGTGAAATGGAGGAAAAATTCACCCACCTCCACTTCCTGAGGTGTCTTTTTGATACTCACTTATTCCATATTTCTCTCATCCGAAGGTATTTGACTTTGCAGAAAAAAGCAGGATCAGGAAAGTCTCTGTTCCTCAATATCACCTCTCTTCTCTTTTAGTTTATTTTTTAGGTGCTGGAGGTGATGGTTGCAGATGGTGGAAGAAGTAAGCAGAGACAGTGGAGGCATGTGTGGCCTCTCCAGTTATGGCGTATCAGGGTGGGAAGGCCCCATGTTGTTAGTCTCCACCCTTGCCTCTTCCTGTGAAGAGGATTAGCTGCACTTGTTGGTTGTTAACAATTTGCTGCAGTAAATAAGCCTCTTCAAGAGCAACATAATCCACCCAGGCTGCGTTCTGACACAGTAATCTGAACCTTTAACTAATGATTGTGGCTGCATTGAGAGTGGCACATTCTGAAGCTGTATTATTCAGTTTTTTGGCCACATGGAGACAAAAGCTATATTGGCTAACATTTTAGCAAACAAATGCCTATGTACACATCCAGATTATATGTTGGCTAGTTTTGCCGAATGGAGTTTTAACCTGTGATTTAGGGCCGGGCAACATATCAGTACAATGTCTGAAGGCCCAGACATGCCAAAGCAACATCAAAGAACTTTTGGCGTAGATGGCTGACTTTTGCATCGCTTCACATTGCCTGTGTCTCAGCCCAAAAAGGGCATTTGAACACAATGCAAAGACTACAGCCAACGGCCAACTGGCAGGTACGTTCCACCCCTGCCTGAGAGGAAATAACTCTCCACACCAGCAGGTGGTAGTAGTCTGAATTCGTCATTTGAAAAGGGAAACCAGGAGACCAACAGGACAGATTCAAGATGCTAGTTAGCTAGGTAGCACACTAACAACACAAACTGATGTTGAAAGAACAAAGATTGTTCACTGAGCACTAGTGAACAATAATGCAAACCATTAGGAAGCGTTCCTGCTAAAGAGCTCAGTGGCTACAAAAAAATAATCTTACCTCAAGTGTTTATCTCACATTCTCACTGACTTTGGCTGTTTGTTTGCTTCTCTCACATTCCACACTGCAAAATCTAGGGTGACAAACACTCACTGACAGCCTGACATTGACAAACAGCCGACTGTCAGCCTCGTGTGTCAGGGTTCTGCGACTTTGGATATATCAATAATATTGCATAAGTGTTGTCTTTTCCTGGTTTTACAGGCTGCATTACAGTAAAGTGATGTTATTTTCTGACCTCATCAGACTGTTCTAACTGTTCTATTATTTGTCTTTCCCAATTCCTAATTATATGTACATTACTGATGATTTCATATCCAAATATCTCATTGTGTAAATATGTTCCGAACACACCAACCATACAACAGCTTCAAAATATCAATTGAGATATTTTGTCAAAAACCTTGTGATATTTGATTTTCTCTCCATCACCCAGCCCCACTTTAAAGAGCTATTTTTATGTATACATGTCTGTTACATTAAATAATTATTGTGTACATTACAAGCAAATTAACGTTTGCATGTTTTTGCACCTGAGCAGCTTTTCTATTTTTAATATACTCCTGCTGGGAAACTTATATTATTGTTAGTCTAAAAAATGTACCTTAAATGTGCCTTTAAAATCAGAAAGCCAATACATGCACCAAATCCAGGATTATATGGTAAATTTAAATGTATTTATAAATATTTTTGTGTGATTCTGTGTTGATTACGAAGGGATACAGTTTGCTTACCTTCCTAATGGTTTGTCAGTGGTCAGGGTATTTACTCTCCCGCAGTTGGTAGGATCTGGTAGAATACAGTTGGTAGAAACTCCACAGTACCAGTATTAACCTTGATTTCATGATGCAAAATAGCTGTCAGAAAAAAAAACATTTATTGGGACAATTATCTCAGTTGACATGAGAGAAGTGATCACAATATAATCAATAGAATCAAATTTTCTTTTGATCAATCTATTGAGTTAATGCATGACTCACATTTTGCAAAAGCAGACGAACTCTGCTGAAGCACAGAAATAAATGTCTCTCTGCACTGGACGACAAGGTAACATCAGGTACAGACTGTTCTCATCACAGCACATTTGAGAAGATTATAAAACCATCTTCACATATATTTATAAACTGAAAGAGGCCACAGTACACCCACGCTGACATTTGTGAGGACTGTCTTTTTCAAGAGGACTCCTTTTCAAATTTACATACAAAAATTCTCCTCCCCAGGTAAATTAAACTAACTATTAAACTATATATGTATCAACAAAGTGTTGATTGCCGAGTCCTCGCTTGTACACTTTTGCATATGTTTTGCAGTTGTATAATCAATCAAACCTGACCTTTGCGGTATGTGACCCTGACCCATATCCTTCAGGATTAGAGTCAGGGTCACAGATCAGTCTTGGTCAAGCTTAAGTCATAGATTTTTGCTTCAGAGTGAGGATTAAGAAAAAACTTTGACATTCAGCCCTAAGCATTACTATCAAGTTTAAGCCTGAAATAACCTGACACTAATGCAACATCATTGTTGAATTTTAGCATCACTTATGCATAACAGCAGTCTAATCTTGTATCTGAGTCTTGTAGATTAATAATGCATTCTTAAATTCACTGTATATTCACTTTGATATTTTTTTTCCAAAATAAACAAATCCTTGTCAGTCTCGACCAGAATCTTGCTTGGACAAGCTTGACCTTCTCCCACTGCCTGATGACTTGAATCATTGTCCAATTAGAGTGGTCCGTTTTAATTATGCAACAAAGGGAAAGTGGTACTTGCCATCTGTCAGAAGAGGTTATTTCATTAGGGACAGAGCCTAGGTGTCTCTGGTTGGCAGAGTCTGGCACAGCAAAAGACACCTCTGCTGTTATATCCACGATCTGTAGCTGCTAGAGCGTGTTTGTGTGCGGTGGGGTTTTTAGGTGGGGCTACAACAACTTTAGAAAGAATTACACATTTTACTAATTGATATTTTAAGCACAATTTCATTTTTCCCACACACTTTAGTTACCACAGGTGATATTCAGACTGGGAACATACCTGCTCTCGTCAAGGTGCTGCTCAGTTCCCTGTTTGTATGCGCTGTTTGAGCCCACTTTTACTGCTGCTTTCATGTTTAGTAATCCTCTCAGAAAGATGCTTGAGATCTTGAAAGGTTGCTCTTGACCAGGAACCATCCCCTCTGAATACAACACGAGGAGAAAAAAAAAATAGCAGTTAGCCCTTTTTTCACTGGAGAACCACTCCACATTAAATCTAAATATTTTTACCTGCACACTGATTTAATTAATACCATATCCCACAGCTAGTGGGCATGAGGTTTGTTACTGTACCTCAAATTTTTCTTCAAAACTCAGACTTTCTTGTTTGTGCTGTAGAAAATATTCCACATTGCTCATGGTGACCTCTGTCATAGAAATACTAGTCCTGAATTAATGTGATGTTGGAATAATCGGAATTGACCCCATAAATGCATAAATACGGCTGACAAAAGTAAATGTTCAGGTGACGGTAAGAAACTTTTTATTAATTCATATATAACTGCATGTTAAATTTTTGCTTATATGTAATTTGTATTATGGTATTTTGTAACCAGTGGCTGTCTGTGTAGATTGTCCTACATATTTAGAGAAGTTATTTATTAGCATCTGTCAGGTAAAGCAATATTTTAGTAGTTTTAGGAGACACACTGGTGCAACCAGTGTCCCAAGTCCGGGACAAAATCACCTCATTATCATGTGTTCTTTAAATTCTCTGAGTAATAAAATGTAACACGTTTTGTAGCTACCGTGTCTTTTCCACATCGTGACTCAAAGTTCATGAACACACCAAATTCAGAAAAACCAGAGCTGTTTAGATCAAATTTGCGGCTGTGGGAAAAACCTTTCCCCCAACTCAGAAAATGGGACCATCCGAGGCTGCATAATTATGCCAACTATGAGCCAATCATTGACTACAACAGCACTTGGCAAACAGTCAAGTTGTAGAGGGACAACAGACAATCAGTTCAAGTGGCATCAAAATTGTTAGCTTTTCTTGCCAAAGCCCTTGGGCATGCCCACAGTGTTACCCCACACTGGATGTACTTGCCAGTGTGACTCTCAAGCCAAGTGATTTCAACTATAATTTTAAAACTATTATATTGACTGAGTTGTATTATAAGTAAGGGATAATGGACAAAGTGTCAATTATAACTTTTTAATGGCTGACTTAGAGGCTTGAACCGTCTGCCTTAGGAAGGCCGTTAAAAAGAACTAATGGACACCTCCATGGGCATTATCCCACTGGTACCATGGTCACTTGCCAAAGAAATAAAAAGCAAGACTATTCATTCATATTTTTATGCTTTTTTGAAGTCAAAATCTAACAGTTTTAACTCAATTTTCTTGGTAACAC